CGAAATGCTTTTACATTTTCTTCGCGCGGTACTTTCAGTGGAGCAGATGCAAGTTTACGTATTATTATTATTTGTTTTTCTTTCCTTTTTATTTTCCTTCTGCCGCACGAACAACTCCCCAGCATTAGTACCATTTCCGCTGCACCATTATTATATAGTTCAGCATGTACATGTGCAAGTTATATAGACCCACAGTGTTTTTCTTTACTTCATTCGTGTGGTAAAAATGTACTGTTTCATTGTAATAAAAGCGGTAATATTGTGGTTAATGCATTTCAATTTCACAATAAATTATTTTATATTTTTCATTAATTTTGTACATTGAATTTGTAACTTTTATTAAAATTATTTTAATTGTCATTTAAATTAAAATAATACACTCAATAAATAAAATGGAAATTTAGTAGAAATAGATTAATTTGAACAAAAAAAACATATTAATAAATATGTTAAATACCGTGGAACCTCGCTTAACGAGCATTTCGCTTAACGAGGAAAATAAATTGTAAGCAAAATGACTTGCTTAACGAGCGACGTTTCGCATAACGAGTGACGATGAGAAGAGAAGTCCCGGATTGCGGGGTTGCTACATCATTTTTAAAACTTGTGTACACATATTATGTGTATTTTTGTATATGTTTCACGAGTAAAAATCCGGAAATTTTGGAACCGATTAAACTCGTTAAGCGAGGTTCCACTTTAGATTAATTTACTTTAAATGTATGTAAAATGTATTTAGAATAATTTCGTTATTGACGCAAAATTGTAAGAAAAAAATATAAATAGTAAAACTGTAACCTTTCATATTTATCATTTGTGTATATTATTGATACTCATCAACAGCTAATCATCAACATTTATTGAAAAAATGAATTAACGTGTTTTCAATTAAATTCCTTGTTATACGTTTTCTATTTAATACAAGCAGGATTCAGTTTATTATACAATTCATCGTGATTACTAAATCTAGGTTGTTAAATCTATTAAATGGTTAAATCATAATAGCATTCTTGATAATAAAAAGATAAAATAAAAATTGAAACGGTAAGTAGTTGTTGTAGACGGTGCAGGAGTTACAGTTCCTTGGAATTAATCTAGTTCCAAGCATTTTTTCGCTTTTATTGCGCGTCGATGAAATTAATTGTAGCTAAAGGCTACGAATAAATAAGGCTATCAAGCGTGTTTATGTTTACATTACAGAATGTGTCCAATCATCTGACGCATCGCTAAATTTATTACAATGCGCCTCGAATAATAATAATAACATAAAAAAAGGCAATAGTCTGAATCCATCGGAGACGATACGACGCTTTCGGAAACCATCAAATAAATCACACAGGTCCATTCCATCTTCTTCCTACGACTGTGACCGATCGACGCAATTTTCATGCTCGACCTCAAAACACAAATATGAATTTGCTGCAGAAGCAACAGTCAACTCTTATTGTCGGACGTAAACAGCAACAAATCGATGATGATGCGACGACAAAAAAATAATTCCTCGTTGTCAGCGAAAACAAAGGTTCGGAAGATTTATTTTTCGGATATTATTCATATCGAGAAAGTCGAATCCAAATATTATCAATCTTTAAAACAACTTTCTTTACCAAAAAAAAAGAGAAGAAATATGCAACAACTTTCTCTATCAATGTCAAGCGGCCGAATGTGGACTCGGAACACGGAAGAAGAACATGCGTTAATTAGGTAATTCGTAGGAGTTCGCAGGTCACGGTCCAATTCCTCTGGTTATTCGCAACGTATATTTTCATCGGATTTTAATTACACGATTCGAGTCTTCCGCATACGTTTTTTTTATTTTAATTTTTAATTTTATCGAAGAAAACAAGAGTGTTTGTCGTTTCTCTCTTTTCGCATTGGAAGTTGTTATTTTTCGCGTTTAATTTGCGGCTCCGATGTAGATAGAATTGCGGGCGTATCCTGTCCTGTTGCACACGCATCTCAGGGGTGTGTGTGAATAAAATGAGGAATGCAAAAATGAGACGCGGGGAATCGTTCGCTCCTTTGACTTTCGAAACAGGTTCTTTGAAATCAGTCAGGTTCACGGCCACGTTGAACCGGCTCTTTCAGCCGCTGAACCCGCAACCATGCATGTTATACAACGATTGCATATCATTAAACAGGTAAATTATCATGCACTTGGCCCAAAGATTCCTCCGCTTTAATCCTTTACTTATTTTTTATATTCTCATTTTTTTATGTTTCATTGCGCGTTTCGTACTCGGAGATTCATCAAATTAATGAGCGCTTCATGAAATCTCATAACCCTAGTCACGAACGTCGCGAATTAATATCATATTCAACCTCGAATTTCACGGTTCTTCTGTCTGTGTTTTTCTTTTTTGGCTCAGCTTCAGATAAATCAACGCAATTATGTTTTGCTCCAGTTTTTAATTTCAAGGATATTGTCGTATGCGACGCGCATTCTTTTTTATGGTTATTTCAAGGAAAACGTAAATCCTCCTTACCTTTGCAAAAAAAACTGTATTTGTGTTGCATTTTTCCAACCTTTCGTTATAGCTCTGCATTCTAAGAAGACACAACAAATTAACACCAATTTATCTCCAAAATAAGTCATATAACATTAACACAATAAACTAATTTAGGTAACACTAAAAGTAAACTCGCAAAACTAGTTTTAAGCATACTAATTGTACCATTGTCAGTGTACCAAAACATTGCTTTATTGTCAATTGAATTCTAATTTAGTCACCAATTTCACACCAATTAATTTAATGTTTCTAAAATTTTTCTTTAAGTAGAAACGCGCCTTGCTACTGCAACTATATTTTCTTTCTCTCTTATCTAGTGTTCGAAATGCACTGTTTTCCTGGAACAATAAGGAGTGTTTAAATGTTCAAAGCAGCTTTGATTCGTCTGAGACTGAGAACAACAAGGGCGAGAAAGTTCCGATCATGTTTGCGAAAGGGCCCAATATTTCCAGCTAGGCCACTGGCGTAATTACATAATTGATTTTAAAGAAGCAATTTTGAGTAAAAAATAATAAACTTTAGCACTATAATATTTCTGCGCAAGTTTCTGTCCGTAATTTTCACTATTTATTTAATGTAATTTGTTATTATTCTTTAATAAACTTTAAAATTAATTAAACAAAGTTTATTTATACTATAAAACTAATTGAAGGAGTACATTAATATTTATAAATAGACCAAAAAAATGTTTCTTCTTCTCTAAAAAAAATATGTGTTTTCCGTGCATCTGTTAAATTTGCAACTCTCCTTGTGTTGATAGTGATGCACTGCAGGGATTGCACCTACTAATTAGCTGATTATTTTAATGGAAGCAGAAGTACAACTAATGAGCTTTTTCAACAAGACCACATTGTACTCGACGTGCGCCATGCATAAATGAAGTGCAATGACAATGTGCTGCAATTAACTCTTCTGCATCTGGCACGTCCATTTCCAGATTATATTGTCATCCTACTTACGAACAGCTCTCCTATATTTACTTATTGCATCATCGAAACTGTTTATTCGGTGCGTGAAATAACATACAGCGAGTTCAAAATGCCGACAAGCAATTGGTTTTCGACCAATTTTCAAAATAAACAACTGATCTATTCTAAATGGTTAGACAGATAGTAAACATTTAGTTTATTTATATATTTAATTGTGTGTTTTATTTTTATACTTAGCAATCTATGAATAAAGTAAATAAAACGACTAAATTAAAATATATCATTTAATGTGTCAAGAGATGAGATTATTATTTTTTAACAATATTAGATTAAGGTTTGAAATGTGGATTTATATGCTGTAACATTATTACAAAAATAATTGCATACAAACATATTATTGTACTAAATGCTTAGTCTTATCTAAATAGATATCAATCGATAAATTGAGGCGACTTGTGAAATGAAATGAAATATAAACATTGAAATTATTATAAAATAAAACTATTAAAAGAATACGTATGTACAGAGGAAATTATAGTATGAACCCTTTCAAGATGTTCATAAATTTCAATGAGCAGGAAGCACTCAAGAGTTATCGCCTTATGGGAATATGCTGGATATTTAATAGATATCAAGAAAAGGAAGAACGATGCTCTCAGCTACTTATAATAAATCTAGAAATGCGCGATTGTAATTACTGAGGACAAGTTTGCAACTTGCGAACGGAAATGAAACAACAATTTATTTATATTATTCACTTTTATGTGTACGCTCTTTTTTTTCCTTTTCCTACCGCTCCGTCACCGTTATTCCAGTTCTTCATATCTTTTTTTACGCAAAAGTATTCATTCATCGCACTTTGCAACTCATTCAGAAAAACCTCTTTCTCTGCGGCCTCCCGCCGTAAGTAATTCATGTAATTGTTTTAATTAATCCATTAAGTTAAATTAGTCTTCAGCCTCGTACTTGCGTTACTCACTTGTAATATTAAATATTACAAATTACAGCATGCATACAGCGATAACTTGTAAAAGTACTTGGGTTAAAAAATACAGCTCTATAAATATGTTATAATTGATCATTAACTAAAAAGTTTCTCAGCATGTTATGAATTGAATAGTAATAGAAATTTATTTGATTAGTATTTCTATCTTTTAATCAACATTTGTTTTTCTTATTTTTCTTCTCTTTTTACATCCACACAATTTTGTTAGCCACTGCCTTTGTTATTTGAAGATTTAGCTAATACAGTCTGAGATACAGGGGTTAGGGAGAAACAACATGTGGAATGACTACACTCACTAACGGCCTTCAAATCTGGGTCTCAACGATTCAGTACAAGAGTGTTAGGAGACATTTCAGATGTATAATGTTGATTGATATTTTGTTTTTCGTTTTTTGTTTTTCGATTAACCCTTTTTTAAATGAAGCTAGATTTAGTTTCTTGCAGCCCTGCACAAATAGTTGCCCACCAAAATGTAATCAATTTTTATCTGTTAGGAAATTCGGTAAAGAGTGTGGCCTAAACATATAAATATTTATAAATATATGTATTGTCCGCTTTAAGCAAATTTTGCAACCATATACCATATCATCTGTTAACGATGTAAGAGGGTTGAAAGTATTTATGGATCTCGCAATAGGAAAAGACTTGTACACGGGTAAATATCGATTATACAAATGCCATTGAAAATAATAGTTTGTTGTTGCGAACACGCATCGCAGAACATCCGCGTTTCAGGTTACGAAGATTATATTCAAATGAGAAATTGTTTCGAGGAAGCACCGGATTTGGATGATGGAGGCTTCCGAAACTTCCGGCAACGCTGAAGAGGATTGGAAAGTGTATCAGATGCTCTGCAAGGAAATCGAAGTATGTTGAATATCAATTAGACACGCAGCACTATATTTATATTGGTTATTAATCACTATCCAAAAATACATTTAAAGAAAAACAATACGGCTGGGTGAAATTTTAGCGATTGCTTCATACGTTTTGGATTGTTTTATTTATATCACAAGTGCTTAAAATGCAGTTAGATTAATGGAGCTGATTTCATGTGGAAAACCTCTTAACATCTTTTTTTTTGTTTTTTGTTTATTTTCGTACCAGGCGAGGAACGAGGAATTTTTGTTATTGATTTTTCATTAACTGATTACAAACTACCACGTTTTCAACGTAAACTAATTTGTTTATAGCAGAAAAGTAATTAAACTATAAATAATAATAATATTTTTTTGTAACAGTCATAAATAAATAAAATATATGAACTGTTCAAATAATTTAGGGTTTTCTGCCTTAATTAAATTATTATATAAAAAACTTTGTTTCATTACCCTTTGGTTGATATAGACCAGTAAATTTTGTAAATAAAAATAATAATTTATTAGTCAGAATGAAAGAAGAAAAAAAAACTACTTCAAAAATAAATAAATATTGAAATGAAAATTAGAAATAATAAAAAAAGCTATATTTATAATATAAAAGGAAAAATAATTGTATCAAGTTATTAAAAATTTAAATAAATTATTAAAGAAAATCTGATTATTTTTTATAATAAAATTGACTAGAAATTCTACGATCTCCAAATTTATGAAAGAATTTTTAGAAAAAAAAAATAAATCAATGACCATAAGACGAATCACAAGTCTTAAATGGTCTCACTATGCGAAATGGAGTAGCTTATGGCCAGAATAATACGGTACTTGATTTCATCAGAGAGAAAGGAAATAAATAATATTTTACTATGATGAAGAATCACCGAATTACACACGTTGATTTTCAACAATTTTTTAATAAAAGATTTATTAGAAACGTTTTAATATTTCATTATGTACATTAAAAAAATTCGATTGATTGCGTTATAGAAAATGTCTCTAAATATAGAATTGGAAAAAGTCGTGTCATCGCGGCGAGTTGTACGCAAAATACACGTAGATAATAGTAAATCATTTCGCCAGTCACGAAAGTTTGTGGTGAAAGCCAATGAAGGCTGCTGCAGCTGAAACGCGTGTAATAATGATATTTCAGTTACAGTTTCAGCATTCGGCTGATACAAGCTCGTCGAACTTCCGCGCTCTGTTGTAGGTAGTTTGCACAAACACGTAGACGCAGACAAACAGAGCGAGACCGCACAATGCCCTATTGAATGTAATGTTTTGTAAGTTTATTTATGTCTGCCTGTAATTATCTCCATTCAACTTACCTTAACGTGTATAAACAAGACGAAGCAGTCGCAAGCAGCGATAGTATACAACAAAAACCATTCACACCATGCACGCTTCCCATAGAATCTCGTTGCTCCGAGATTATTTGTGTTTAGGGATTATTGATTGATCTTCTAAATATAAATCTGTAATCGGGAAAACTAATTTTAGATGGATACGAGCGACGTTGATGTAACCACATCCTTGCGCAGCGAGGTAGCAGCCCTTCAATTTAAACGCGATCGGCTCGCAGAAGAACTGAACGATATGAAGTGCCAGATGAGAACCAGGGACCAACGGTGTCTGGATCTGCAAACAGAGGCAGATCAATTGAGGGAGCAGTCTGCTCGTCAAAATGCTATCATTTCATCTCTTAAAAAACGAATTTGCGAGATGGAAGAGCGCGAGCGAAATCTGTACGCGGCACAAGGCAGAAACGAGATTAGCGTTCAATCCATACAAAGGGACTGCAGGTATCACGAGGACAGAGCAAAAGAGTTGGAAAAGAAGTTGAGGGTAGTCGAATTGGATTTGAATAGCGAGGAACAGAAAAAGGACAATGCGCGTATGACATTGCAGGATTTAATCAGACGGTTGAGCATATCTTTGGGATGTGAAGTATGCGATGGGTCATCATCTGAAACCCTAATCCATAAAGCCAACGAATTAATGCAGGTGATCTATTTAGTTAAAACGGTGCGATTTGGATTAATTTGCAAACTGTTTCTGTTTAGGAATTGAGTCGATTGCGGTCGCGTTCTTGCACAACGAACGATGCCTTGGCTGCGGCTGAAATTGAATTGCGGTCGTGTAAGGATAATTTTGAACGGATTTTGGGGGAGAAGGAATGTTTGGAAAGGCAATCGGCCGGTCACTTATTGGAAATTGATCGTTTGCGTGAAAGCAAAGAAACGCTCGAGATGCAATTGAGGGTTCTCGAACGGGAGCTGAGTGAGATGAAGGAGAAATTGGCTTCATCTACTCGTAGCCTTGGATCTGCGAGTGGGAACATCGCGCAACAGGAATCAATTATTTGTCAATTAAAAGGTTCGCGCTTTATTTTTCAATTCCATTTACAATGGAAGACAATATTTTCCATCATCATTTGTTTTTATTTATTAGATGAACTTAAGCAAAAAGAGGATAAGTGTCAAAGACTGCAGCACGAGAATCGTCACGTGCTAGAATCATTGTCCATTCTTTTAAGCAGTCCGGCTCGTTTCGTCGAATCGCTGGAAAACTCGATTAAGGACCGAATACGGGAAATCCTAACAGAAAACAAGGACAAATCGGCGGTAAAAAACATCTCACGTTTATTCGTTTCATTCTTGTTCGTTTTATGGATCATTTCCACCTAGCTTTGTAATTCTAATTCCGTAGCAAATTGAAACGCTGCGAGAGAAACTGGCGCAAGATTCGCAAACGTTGACCAGGCAGCTGACTTTGAGCGATCAGGCGAACAACAGAATCCGAATATTGGAAGAGGAGCGGAATTTATACGAGACACGTCTGAATAAAGCGGAAACGGAAATTAGCACTTGCGAGCTCTCCAGGGAGGGATTAAAGCGGGATAAAAACACGGTAATTAAAAATTCCTTCTATTTAACCATCACTTATTCATGTGATTACAGTTCATGTCATTTTTGGAGAGATTAGGAAGGATTCTTAACATGGAGGAAATATCCAACGACGTCGGCGTCGATTTGCACACTGAATCGCTTCTGCTGAGAGCGGAACAATTGTCACGTCTGGAAAGTGATAAATTGGTCGATAAGGTGAATATATTTGTTTATTAACATGTACAGTTTCTGATTGTTTCCATTCAGCTGCTTTGTTGCGGATACGGAACGTTACCACGTTTATGTCGGCAGCGTTCTTTTCACGATTTGCGTGACGTAAGACTCTCGAGTTTTCGCTTTAAGATTCACTGTTGAATAATTACTTCCACAGACTTCTCTAGTTTATCAACTGCAAAGGCGCGTCAGGACGTTGCGGGAGCAAGTACAAAGGAAGGATTTGCATTTGGATTTGCTGAGGAGGAAGTTATCCTTGCAGGAAGACAGCGCGAAAACCAAATGCTTGATGCAAAGCGAGCGCGACGAAGCTAATCTTCGGATAAAGAAACTCGTAAAGCAAGTGGATAGATTACAGCTGCAGTTATCCGATACGAAATCTCAAGTTCGCGATCTTAACGCCCAACTGGCAGAAGCCGCCGACTATAAAGTATTTATATGTTTTTTCTCCAAAATCAACATGTATATATATTTATTGAATTTCTTTTGCATCAGATAACTGCTTTAGAACGTGGCCGGAAAATTGAGGAGCTTCAAAAGAGATTAATTGAATCAGAAACGTTGCGGACAAAGTACAACAGGAAAGTTACTCTCTTGAAAGACCAAGTCAGGACAACCGGGGAAACCATCGAGCAGGAACGAAATATAAGCGATCATTCGTTACATCTGTTGCGCGATGAACTCGGCAGGATTAAGGACAATTTGTGCGAAATCAGTAGACGCGAAGCTCAGCTGCAAAACTTCAAAGGTTCTGTGGCTAAGATTTTAGGTGCAGCGCTTCCAATACCAGATTATGAGCTCATCACTAGGTTACAGAAACTTGTTGATGCACATCATGACTATACGTTGGTTTCTCGGCGTTACGATGACCCTGTCTTAAGGTTAACTGCTCGCAGTCCTACTGGAGGAAGTCGTTGCACAAGGACCCCTGACAGATCTCGGTACGATGATTCTGGCTACACAGATGCAGCCGACATTATTGATGACATTGATGATGACCTTTTTAAGACGAGACAAACAAGACCATGCATTTGACACAGGTGACTTCCGAAAACATAGTGTTCCATTACATATTAAGAACATTACTTCAGCACCAAAGTCATTTGTATTATTATAGTATCGCACTAATAAGATACATAGTTGTGTTCATTTTTCTCTAACATGTAATCCGATATTGAGTAAAATACTATTCTATTATTATATAATTATAAATAAATATAGGCAACACAAATTACGAGTAATAATATTTGAAAATAATACTCCATTTTTTGCACGATTCAAATAGAATTAATATGTTTTCCAAGATGGAAGAAGCAGTAAGAAGAGAAAAAAATCATAACTATTATAACTTTAAAGTTAATTACTGTATTTATATAAATACATTAATATTAGTACCTATTAACAATGTTATTTCCAATTTAATTTAGTCTTGTAAAATTTAGTCTGCATTGAATGTTTATGGCCATTTTTTTAAGTTGAATGAAAATACATATTTATTGAAATTAAGCTCACAACTTTTGTGCTACAATTGAGACAATGTTCTTAAATTGCAAATGTATAAAATTATACTTACATACATGCAATAAATACATAAATTTATTAAAATATATTATTTACTAGATTATACAAATATAAACAGAGATGATTATAAAAAAAATTGTAATTTTATTTATATTTCATGATATGCAACTATACGTACGCTCCTTTTCTAACCCCATTTTGCAGGAGTAAGGATTGTTGAAATGTCTTATGAAATAATCGTCCTTTTTGATGGGTATTCGAAAAATGTTGAGGAAGGGATGTTGGCCAATTGCACATGCACATTAATCAAAGGACCTAAAAACATAATTGTCGATACGATGACCGCATGGGACGGTGACTTCCTGCGAGATGCATTGCATGCACAGAACTTGCAATGCTCCGATATTGATTACGTGATATGCAGCCATGGCCATTCAGATCACATCGGCTGCAATTATCTTTTCCAAAATGCCACTCACATAGTTGGCCACAGCATTTCCCATAAAGTTACTTATTACGATCACGATTTCAGCTCGACGGAATATCAGATAGATGAAAATATTAAAGTAATTGCAACGCCAGGTCACACACTGCAAGATGTGAGCGTGATTGTCCAAAAAGGAAATGCAATTTATGCAATAACGGGAGATTTGTTCGAGAAAGAGGAGGATTTAGAAGACGACACTATATGGAGGATGGCCGGAAGCGATGACGAGAAGCTGCAAGAATTCAATAGGAAGAAAATATTGGGGATTGCCGATTACGTTATACCGGGTCACGGACCTATGTTTAAAAACAAATTGAAGTGTACTTAGATTACTGTTAAAACACTATATGTCATCAATAAAGAGTTTTTTTTAAACAAAATATTTGAGCGTTTTATAAACATAAAAAAGAAATTAATTTTGATCGTATTAAAGATTAGTTTTATTACTTTAAATATTATAAACGCCATCAATACTTTTTACTTTTTTTATTAGTGTCCAAAATTATGTAAAAAAAAACAATTCAATAATACTCTTATTGCAGTAAATATACTAAACGTAATTAACAAAGAGCACATTTTTATTTTTTATTGGATCATCTGAAATTATTTGAAAAACCCAACTCCATAGATAACGAAAGTAATTCCCCTATACCGAGAGATGTTATTTCCGAAAGAAATTATCTCTCTGCGTTGAGTTAATCATATATAAGAGCATGGACCGTAATGTGCGAATTCAAAGCAACGCGACCTCTCGTACAATCTCGTTCCTTATAATACATTATTAATAAAAATGTTTAAGCTGTGCATACTGTGGCTCGCCTTAATCGCTGGATGTTTAACGTTTTCCGACTTCGAAGGAAAAGTCCAAGTTATTTTAGATGACGAAGGCAACGACTTCTATTTAGTACCGGTAGATTTATTATACCATGTCAGGCATAAACGGTATGCTCACACCATTCGCAGCACCAAATATGTTTATTTATCGAATTATTTTATTTTAGCGCAACTAATGTTTCTACTGGTGGAAACGCCAATAGCAATTGGATCACCGTTTCCAAAGACATTCATGACACTCCAAATCACAACGTGCAAGGAACTCTTCACAGTCAAGTGAATGACAAAGGAAAAGGACTTACGTCCGGAACAATTGATTATACCTATAAACCAAGCGGTAAGAAAACATTTAAATTTTAATTAGAAAAAAATTGTTGATTTCTGTATTGTATAGATTCCAAATTCAGTTTAACGAAGACGAACCAAGGAGTATCTTTAGGAGGAAATCACGATATAATCAACAACGATAATTATAAATTGTCCGCTACAGCGTTTGCGAATAAACCAAATGGTGGTGATTGGACCAGAGGCGCCGGAGTCGAATTGAGTCATAAACCTTCAGGTAGATTTATTTTTTTATTTGTTTGCTCAATTAATTCATAAATTAAATCAATTTACAGATAGTTCCCTATCGTTCAATGCTCAAAGATCGCCCGGAGCAAAAACTACATTCGAATCAACAGGAACTTACAATGTCTTCAGGTCCGCTGATGGGCGTGGAACTGTTGGTCTTTATGGCAACTATGGTGGCGGCGGCGGAGGCGCAAGAAGCTGCGGTGGTGGACTGAAAGCTTCCTACAGATTTTAATAAAATAATTCTTGTTCAATTTATGTGCTGTGATTATATTAACAAATGAATCAAATATTAAATAATATTATTTACCAATATCTTTATTGTATTTTATTAGAAAGGAAATAATAACTATCATTTTTACATATTTATAAAATCAAATTATATATTAATTTATAAAGTTATCAAATTAGTAAATACGAATGGAAAACGACATTAACAAGTTCAAAATAAAAATGATGTGTTGGATACAAAATCACCGAACGAAGACATAGAACAAATAAAAACCAAGAAGCGCGCTCAAAATACTGGTTTTGAAAATTGAGAAACACATAAGAAAAAGAATAATGAAAAACGTATAATAAATAATGTAAAAATTGTATACAAAATTGAAACCAAAACATGAGAAGTTTTATTTTATCAAGATTTTGTATTTTCTTAAAGTTTAAACGAATATAACAACAAACTGTTGAAAATCTATTATAAAATAACTATTATAAAGATAGATATTCAGTATTTCAAAGTTCATATTGTATTTAGAATTTAGTAAGTGAAATTAACATTAAAAATTAATTTTCGATGATCCTTTAATGTTTAATTATTACAATTATTTGAAGTAAAAAATATTTGTTACCTAATTTAGTTTATAAGGTTCTATTTAATATAATACTCACATTAAATTCTTCATCAAATGAGCCGTATCAATAGTTCAATCATTAAATGTACTCTCCCTGAACTCGCTAGAATTACTATATGCATGCAATGATAGATTATATCTCTTCTGAACGTACTTGCATTTATTTCCATGTTAATATTATAAGGTCGTAAACATCTAAATATAGGGTTTTATCTGTGTAATGGGTTTATTTTGTTTAATAAATCTTTCCTTTTTTTATGAAAGCCAAGGATTACTTCGACGACATGAAACGTAAATCCCCAAGTCCGCGAAATCTGGCCGTATTTCCAATTAGGATTACGCGCTTATCAACCGATGCGTTCAATTATAAAAGTTAAAGCAACGAGAAGATGAAGGCATTAACTAATTACAAACAGTGCGTGCACATTCATAAACAATGAGCGCACATCAATTCTACAAGTATTTCGTGTTCTTCGCATTTGCTCTTATGGGAGCATTAACTTTTTCTGATTTCGAAGGTAAAGTGCAGGTAATATTGGACGATGATGGTAATGATTTCTACTTGGTTCCAATAGATCTACTCGATCATATAAGAAACAAAAGGCAAGCAAATAATCATAATTTTATTAATATATTTTAAATGATTTATTTATTATTTTAGGGCTACAAACATCTCATCTGGGGGTAATAGTAACGGTGATTACGTTCGAATTTCCACGGATCTCCATAAAACCGCTGATTACAATCTCCAAGGTGGAGCCTTTGGTAATACTGATGCAAATAGACAATCTATTTCTGGAGGACAGCTCGATTTATCACATATTCCTTCAGGTTTGTTGAGACTTCAAAACATTTATTAATATAATTAATTGATCATGTATTGCAGATTCCAAATTAAGCGGAATTTTAACCACCAAAGGGGTTTACTTGGACGGAAACTTGAACGGAAATAATTTTCAGTTGACCGGCTCGGGTTTTGCGGAAAAGAATGATTTCAATAAAGTCGAGTCCGGTGGGAGGGTGACTCTCACGCACACACCATCAGGTATTATATTAATAAATTTATATAATTTTCAGTATTAAGCAAGATAATGTTTTCAGAGAGCAATGTGAATTTTGCGTTGAAAAACGTGCCAGGATCGGGTACAGTGCAGCAAACCGGAGGAACGTACAACTTCTTTAAAACTGCTGATGGCAGAGGAACGATTGGTCTGACTGGTAATTATAATGTCAATCGTGGAGGAGGTGGCGGTACTCGTAGCTGCAATGCATTGTTACACGGAAAATATTCTTTCTAATGACAATTTTATATAATGATAACTATTACTTCTTATGTTATATCTGTATATTGTAAAATCAAATGAACAATGTAAAAACAAAACATATTTATTTTGTAAAAATGCTACGAGTTTAAATATAGTAATAACTATTTCAATGTGATTAGCAGTTACAAAAATATATTTTATTGTTTTATAATTTATTATAGAGAATTAATTGATTTACTTTTACATCTTCTTTGAAATTCTAAAAACCAAAGCAAACGGTTGGAGTAAACTACTTAATTGTACTATGTTCCAATCACTGATTCTTGCGAAATCTTAAATAAATGTGAAGCTACTTGTTCATATAGATAAAGTTCTCTGTACTTCCCCTGAGGCGGGGAAAGATTATAAATGAATTGAACTGGATCGTATAGCATATCCAAATTTGCCCGAAGATGTATAGAATATGGAATTCCCACTATAACGCATCGTACTTGCACGAATCTAGTAAGCAAGGCTTAAGGAAAACAAAACGATAACTGATGACTGCAACAAAACCCAAGGTTATTTCTTTCTACTAAATAAGAAACTTTCTTTTAAAATTTATTTTATAATAAAGTCTTTACAATTATTGATTTTTACAATAATTACATTATTATTACTGCAAAACTAAATAATTTAATGGGTAGTAAAAAAAATCACCATTTTATTTTAGTCACGATTAGAAATAAAAATTGTAGAAATATTATAAAACACTAGCTAGAATACATGAAAAATATAATACTATTATTTGGTTAAACTATGGTTGTTGTTGCAGAGCCAACGGGCATACGATTAGGATAACTGTATCCAGAAATGTCTGATTTTTGATACGATGTCGGCGTTTCGCTCGGTGTATCAGCATTGTACATATCCGGTTTTAAGGTAGACGAAGGACTCGTCTCATCCGGCGATGGGCTTGAGGGTGGATTTTTGACCGATGGAATTGTGTCATCATCATAGAAATCGTCGGCAGGTAAAGCTCTTATATTATGAATTTCTGAAGCGCGTCTGCAAATATATATTTTATGAAATTTACGTAAATAAATTAAGCTCGATTGAAATCTCACATTCTCTCATCGGCGTTATCATCCTCAGCTTCTTGCCTTCGCCTCTGAAGAAGTTTGTAAGCAATGAACACAAGGATAACAACAATTGTAACAATAATTGTTAATACAATTGCGGTTGTCAAGCCAGCCGCTCTCGAGGAATATTCTTGTTCACCTGAAGTTCAGGAAAAAAAAAAGAAAATTAAAAATAAATATCTTTTCCACAATTTAGGAAGGGTTAAACATATTAGTAACATTATTAAATAGTATGAACATTTTCCTGGCATGTGGAATAGATATTAACCAAGATTTTTCACGAATATTAAATTTATTTTTATATGTTTGTATATAGAAAAGAAAAGGTACATGCACTAATAGCTATTCCACATGCTCTATGTAAAAAAAAAAACAATAATGACAAAATCAATTAAACTTCAGTCACAACATTGCTTTGACTTTTAAATGTGTTTCTTAGATCAGCTAAATTGTCATAGGATTTTGCTTGTTTTTGATGCGCGAATGGCTCAGTGTAAATGGGCGAAGCTGTTTTTCTTCTCTTCTCAGAAGCTACCGATTCGTCGGAATCATAATCTAAATCCCAGGGCTTTTCTTCAAAGTCATCCTCGGGTAAACCTTCTAAAGGTTCGTTAGTTCGATAGCTCTTTTCGTAATACCTAGGCTTCTTGACCGAATCTGATGAAGTTCTATCACTCAATACTGAGCTGTTATAGGAAAATCTTTTAGAGTCATCCGGAGTCGTCGGACTTGACCTCTCTGAATCTCTCAATCCAACCTTATTCAGACTCAATCTGCTGGCAGCCCTCGATGGTGGATTTAGAAAACCCGTATCGCCTTTGACGTAAATACGTCTATAAATTCTCTGACCTATATACGTTAAAACAATCAAAATCGAAATAATGATGGCTAAAATTATCCCAAAAGTCATTGCTGCGCTTCTAGAAGAGTATTCCTGTTCACCTATCATAGATAAAAGAACTTAATGTGAAGAGCTTTAAATTATTCGAGACTTACGTAAACATTCGGTGTATCCGTAAACGGGTACATCCCAACGACCGCTGCTGCTGCATTCCCTCCTCGGGTCTCCAATTAAGATGAATCCTTCGTTGCATTCAAATGTGACTCGTGATCCGGGCGTGAAGAAGAAGTTTGACTTTCGTCCGAACCTCGGAGTTTCCAGAACACCACAACTGATCAACGGATTTCTGTTAACTTCTTTTAGATTCTTGATGGAACTATGGTAATTTAATGTAAAGTGTGCGAGATCTCGATTTAGAGTCATAGCGTAATCGTATCGGCATTGCCAATTTTCGTTACAAAATTTCTCAGCGTTTGCTATCTCTATTGAACGATTCGGTGGAATTATTTTATCCACGTCCATTTCAAACACAGGTATAAATGTTTTGTTGTTATAACTGCTTGACGTTTTTCCGTGCTCCCTGTGGAAAAGTGAGCGCCCAATGCCCGGTTTATCTTTATCTTCAAGCATCCACAATTTTCCAAAATCTTTATAAATATTCTCAAAATCATTTATGTTTTCTGTTATTGGTATAATAGTTCCAGTCGGTGTAACCAAATCGTCTCTTCTATCGTAGCTCCAATTACCAAACAAACCGCGAGTTTGATTCTAAAATTATAATATTTAATTATTGTCCGCATATTAATTTTGCAAAATACTTACAATAAATTTCCATGGCAAAAATGTTCTAGCCGTCAAATATCCTTGATTCTCGATAACTTCCACTCCAGCACCAGAATCGAACATCATAATAACTTCAGATTGATTTAGAATATAGAAGGGTGTGTAGACTAGGACACCTAAATTAACAAACACAATATTTTTCTTTAAAATAATCTTAAAAACAATTAGTTAATGATAATATACCTGGGAAATGTTGGACTTTCAATGAAGGTCTGTCAAAGTAAATCCTTCGGCCGTTTGCCAAAACATCCAATCTGTATCTCCAACTGGCATCGGCCGGTCTCCTTCTTACTTCAATTACCGTTGAAAAATTGCCTCTCGCTGCAACTGATGTTAATTGCGTGGCTCTGACTTCACCGTATGCATTCATAGGCATCTGCTCGAATCTTCCTTGGACATCGAGACGAATATCCTTATTTTCAGTACGCACCAAAGCGAATTCACCCAAACCGTTGAACGTATATTCGTAATCATCGAAAGTCACGATGTGAGGATCTCCAAAAACTCCAGCAACTTCGGGTGGTTGATAAGCGACGCAATCCTGTGTTGGTCTTCTTTCGAATCTCAACGTTTCACATCCAACAGACTGTTCTCCGGTTTCTCCTGTCACGTTATTTCCTTGCCACAAACAACAAAGATATTTCGGCGTAATATCATGGAACCATTGAGACAGAGTTGGAACTTTATTGGCCTCGTCCCAAGGCAAGTAACCAAGATTGTGCGATCTGAATGGAGTTGATCCATAAAGTTGATCATATGATAACATCAACATGTGGTTTTTATCGTAGCAACATTGTTGTTCGGCGCCCTCCAGTCTGTAACATTTTTCAAAATTATAATTTGCTAAAAAAAATATTTCATAAACTTACGTTGGTGCTCCACTCCTGACACAGTGAATTGAACCTATATTATATTTGCAACTGGGGTTTGTATCTTTATCGCAATTAAAATCTGGTAAATATCTTCCTTTGTCATTTAAAGCATGCTCGAGTTTGCATGGACATTGCGGTAGTTCGTGAGCGAAATTTTTCAAGAACCTATCATTTTTGATCCAGGTCTCGCAAAGTTTTCCTGGCCAATTTGGACCGTACTCGCGTTCCCATTGAGCTCCAAAATACCATGCCAATGGAATGGGTCTACTCCAGATGACGGGCGTATATTCAATTGGCGGAAAGCCTGGCGCGGTTTCAGTTACAGCTTCAGTTAAGTTTATCTGTATGAAACCGAATTTGATGTCGCTGTATCGAGGATTTTCACGATTTCTATATGTACCAGGAGTTATAACGAAGTCACCAGCATTTTGAGTAGAATCTTGGATTGTGTCGATGTAAACAAATTCCGGTCTTAGAGTACGTTCTCTATAACCCCATAAAGAAATTCGGACATTGGCGTTCTCGTTTGTAGTCAAATTTTGTTTGATCCATTTCATTTGAATGCTGCCGGGATTTTTTTCGTAGATCTTTCCGTCGGGGAAGAAGATCTTTTCGGCAGCAGACGCCGGCGGCTCAACAAAGTACTTTCCTTTCCATTTGAATTTCTCGTTTCCAACTGCGACTTCCAAATTGATGTATCCTTCGACAAATAATCTTGGTTGAACACAAATAGCCCTATTCTCGCTGACCACGCTTCCAATAACTTCATCGGCAACTACGTCAAATTTACATCGCACTCGGTCTGTAGGTTTGAAACAGGGACCTGTGATGTTAACGACCGATCCTCCCAACATGTTACCACTTTCTGGAGCAATGACCAATGGAAGATTAGCATCGTCAATATCCTTATTGCAGGTTCCAAGCATAATATTTTCATCAATTCTAAAGATGTGTCTGCCTTTATGACCATTAGCGAATCCTCTGCTTGTTAAATCACGAAGAATACTGGCTTGACTGTAAGGTTTGTACTCGTAACTTCTAGTTCCATTGCCAGCATTGAAACCAATATATGCTGGAGTACCACCTTCGCCTCTCAATGTATCTCCCAAAGCCTCAGTATGTGTAGTCCATTTCAAGTCCAAATAATTGAAAATTGCGTAGGTAAATACCTCATCTGTTGCGATAACAGCTTGGAAAGTATTAGTCTACAAATAGTATAAATTATAATAAAAATAAATAGATATTGAAATAAACAACATACAGTATATATCGACTGAAGAATACCACCAGCAAAGGTGACATTTTTCCATGTAGCAATTATAGCGTGTTTCGGTTCAAACGTTTCGGCTCCAATAACGCCCTTCCTGATATCCCACTTCAACCTTTCTCTAAATTCTACTCCCAATACATCAGTTCTTCCTTGCAAATCACGCTCAAGTCTAAAATAAACACCGGGTTTCTTTTCTTCGGGTCCATCTTCAGTACGAAGACTTCCAATACGGCATTTGCTAAAGAAAATACCAATGAAGGCAGGATCGTTTCTTTTAGGCCAATCCTTAACTGGAAAGACCAGTGGATATTGAATGTAGTTTTCAGGCGGATCGCTGAATTCCAGATAACCGTTCAAACTGATCCTGGTATAATTGTAACGGAAACCGAAGAAAGGTAATTGAAAATTTAAATTTTTGTGTACCGTCGGATTAGAAGATTGTATATTGAATTGGTAATCGCCATGATTATCTGAACCGCCCATATCGAAATACCAATACATGAATTCCTTGCGCAATTCAGCGAGACGGGCTTCAGAAATTGTATGTGGAATTCCTCCGCGGTTATTATCAATCGGGTCTGGAGCATAGCGAGATTTCAAAGAATCTGAAAAAGAGTAAACTTTTTGTTATTTTTCTATTTATTATCCGTATGAGTAATACCGTTCGTGATATTAGTTCGTTCGTTTTGTATTAATTATAAATTGCTTATCATTATTGACTATACGATACCACGCCTGTATGTTATCTCGTTGTTATGAAAGTGAGCGTAAATAATTTATAGCGCTTGGATGATTAATTGAGGTGATGGATATTAAATTTAAAACCATTTCATACCCCAATTCGCATCCAATAATCTGCCACTTTTTTTGTCACCTTGATTAGGATCTCCAGATTTTCCGATCCTAGGGGAAATTGGGGGCACTGCTACAGTTTCAATATTTTCATTTATCACCTCCGATGATTCTAAAAGTATTTCGCATTAAATAGTAACCAATCGAAAGTTTCGTTTTATTTAACTTACTTTCTTCGTGAGTTTTCTCGTCCACAGGACCAACTGTTTCAAAAGCGACATCAACATCTTCGATTTCTTGGGCAAATGCTGAGGAACTTATCACCAGCAACAGTGAAAACAAAAACAATTTAAACTTCATGATTTTTTTTCTCTGTGAACGGCCAACGCCGTTATACGTTATTGGAAAAAACTACGCCCTGGTTTTCTCAGCTCACGATTACTCTAATGACAATACTACCTGTTGGCTCATGCTCTAAATTTTGCTTTATCTGATAAGATAAGCTTTCTTGATAAATCGAATAAATATGAATCTTCTGTAAGGTGTAGTGTTTTATTATATTTAATGACAACATAATTTGGTCATTACTCACTCATCTATTTTATACAATAAAATATTAATTTGTACTTTTATTTATTTTTTATATAGAAACTATATTCATATGCTAAGAATTAATACAATATTTTAAACAATCAATATATTCAGGGTCGGACCGTTAACGTTGGAGGCCCAGGGCTAACACTGTTTGGAGACCTCAATCAACGCTTTCTAAATTGTAGCCCATAAAAACCATGCCTAAATGCGCCCCTGCACATATTATATGGATTTTATTTTATTTTTCTAGTATACGTATTTAATACGCAGCAAGATTAGATTAACTAATCGCATTGGAAAAAGAAGATATATCTCTTGTAAAATAATATTTTAAGGAAAAAAGATCTATTTTAATTAAAAGAATATTTGGTTTAATCAGTACAAACATCTAGCATCGAAATTTAGTTAATAATCCTTTTTTTCAATGAACATTTTAATCTCCAGTGATAATTTATTTGTAGACAAGTATTGTTTGCAGCTGAAATACTTGAGTAGTTATTATCAGAAATGAGTAATGCTCATTAATATAATGACTAATATGTTAATTCTTTTTAGATCTAAACTATAGCGAAATCATGGAATGGTACAGTAGATAATAATCATATTGTTAAATAGGAGAGTTTGTTTGTTAAAATAATAATTCTTAGAAGCCTATTTTAAGTTCCAATATTGCATTAAATACATTATTGTAAATTGCGTCGTTATTCTCATCGTTTCGGTGAAATTAGTTAGTTACAGACAATCTTTAATCTCTTTGCAGGTAATGCGATAATGTCATCTAAAAATGTGTCTAATATTATCTTGTTTAGTGTAAAATGCCTACAGATAAAATATCTAATAGATGCGGGTATACTTCCTTGGAGTATACCAGTCATAGTAAGCTTATTCAAAAATAACATATATAGAAATAGCAGCTTAATATGAATTTAAAATTTGGATGAACTCTTCTCGTATATAGGAATGATTTTTGTGTTATGTTGTATAAACGGAAAAGCGTGCAACAAAATAAAAAGTATATAACAATAAATCATTTTCATTGTTACATTGTTTTGTTTTGAAAAATAATGAAATGAATAATGTATTTGCTGTGTTATACTGATACGAGAATCGAGTAAACAACGTTCAAATATTGCGTGGAAAATAAACGGGAAAAATCTTTACTCCCAAACCGTCCTTGTCCCAGTTTTCTGGGGTTGGCCAATCCATTTTCCGAGCGATGTTATGTTTTACTGGCGCAACGTTTGCCAGCCTGCACGTCAAAAATAATAAATCGTGAGAAAAAATGGCGGAACCTGAATTGAACGTAGACAGCTTAATACAACGATTATTGGAAGGTAATTGAATTTAATACACGTACAGTCATATTAGTTTAACAGACAAGTCTCTTAATCGCAATTGTATTGCCATAAAATGATGCAACCAGTATATTTCAATTGCCATCGATTAAAATCATCTTGACAACTTCCTGGAACTGTCAAATCTCTTGAATTTCACTCGAATTTACAATCCTCTTCCAAATAAATATTTATTTTTAACTATTTGCCACCCACAAAGTTCAATAGCCTCTCCCCTTTTACGTTGATATAATTTTAACATGAATTCCTAGCTTTAATCTCAGTCTCTTTATCTTAATCCCATTAGAATACATTTTTTTTTTCATTTGAATATATGCACATTACATAAATATTTTTGTTTCCTAATTTTGATAATACACGACACACACACTTGATTTTCTTTTATTTAGTAAGTATTTGTTTTCTCTCTTGAGTGTTTCTGTTATGTTTTGTGCTGCTTTTCGTGTGTGATGTGTGGGGATTGGTTGGGTGCTCAGTATATAAAGTACAACACGAATCCCAACATCAAATCCCCGACTTTAAGAAGAAAACAAAGTTCAAAGATATATTCTCATCCGAATGTAAGGACACCAACTACAGTAGTATCTCTTGTTATTATTAATATTATTTTTATTTTCCGCTACTTTCTTAGATTCATATCCTTTATTTTATTATTGTTCAATTTTTCTATTTAGTTGTATTGTTTAATGCTAATTCTGGCACACCATACAAGATTTTTTGTTTCTCTTGCAAATAGCTTTCTTGGATTTAAATGGTTTAATAAACAAATATTTATAAATGCCAGTGAGTGCTTCTTATATATTTATTAATTCTAAGTATTTTAATGATATTTATTACATTTATTGACAAACATTTTTTTTAGTCAGAGGATGTCGGCCAGGAAAGTCTGTGCAGATGACAGAGTCAGAGGTCAGAGGGTTATGTCTGAAATCACGTGAAATTTTCTTACAGCAACCAATCTTATTGGAGCTTGAGGCACCGCTAAAGATTTGTGGTGAGTGAGAATTTACTAAGCCAATTAGGTATTTGCATGTTATTCAAGTTTCATTAAGCCAATTTATAGGAAACCTTGAAAAGTTATTTAGTGTCTACAAAATTAATTCAACTTGAGTGGGTGACACATAATTTATTTCAATTTAGTAAACACTTTGCTTTTAATTTATGGTGACCTAATTCGTTGTCATCCATTTACGATGCTTGCGTCTTATGGAAAACGTCCAATTAATATTTAACATTTTAGGTGATATCCATGGCCAATATACTGATCTTCTGCGTTTATTCGAATACGGCGGGTTTCCACCGGAAGCGAATTATTTATTCCTCGGTGATTATGTAGACCGTGGCAAACAATCTTTGGAAACCATTTGTTTGCTGCTTGCTTACAAAATTAAATACCCCGAGAATTTCTTCCTACTGCGTGGAAATCATGAATGCGCTTCGATAAACAGAATATACGGCTTCTACGATGAATGTAAATACGTTCTGCCTATTGATTTTTCATTGTTTTAATTGTTTTAAATTATTTTGCAGGTAAAAGACGATACAATATAAAGCTCTGGAAGACCTTCACCGATTGCTTTAATTGCTTGCCCATTGCAGCTATTATTGACGAAAAGATATTTTGCTGCCACGGAGGTTTGAGCCCTGATCTACAAGGAATGGAGCAGATTCGTCGCATTATGAGACCCACAGATGTTCCTGATACAGGTAATTTAGTTAACAAATCTCAATCATATAAGCTTTCTTTAAATAACTATAATGAAAAAGTAAGATATTGGCTTCCATGTAGTTATCATTTTACAACATATATAAGATAAGTAACATTTGTCAAAGATAATATGCGTCGAAAGAAATCCGTTACCCGTTACTAAATTGTATTGGAGGACTCTTTAATAGCAAGGAGATGATTACTAGAAAAACCAATCATAATATTGTAATGCATAGTTGATAGCAAACCTAACAAATACATATTAGTGGTATTGTCCATTAATTCTAGAGAATTAAACTCAATGCCCTACATATTAATTTTCTGCGTAATATTTGTATTCTAGCACTAATTATAACTATTTTCATTAGGATTATTGTGCGATTTGTTGTGGTCTGATCCTGACAAAGATGTACAAGGATGGGGTGAAAATGACCGCGGTGTATCGTTTACATTCGGGGCGGACGTTGTGAGCAAGTTCCTGACACGACACGATCTCGATTTGATCTGCCGTGCACATCAAGTCGTCGAAGATGGTTACGAATTTTTCGCCAAGAGGCAGTTGGTTACCCTATTTTCTGCTCCCAATTATTGCGGCGAGTTTGATAACGCCGGTGGAATGATGAGCGTCGATGAAACACTAATGTGTTCATTCCAGGTACGTTGAACAAACTGATTATTCGACTAGGAATCTTTCCATTCACTGTTATGATTACCTACAGATTTTGAAACCATCAGAAAAGAAAGCAAAATACCAATATCAAGGTACAAATTCGGGCCGTCCGGCAACACCACAGCGCACCGCTGCTCCCCCGACTACAACGAAGAAGAAATAAATGCATTTTATTCGAGAGTGAAAAAAAAAGAAACAGAAAATATATTATATAAAATGCCATACAAAAGCGCTATTGGATTGATTTATTACTATGATTGTTTTTTTTTCTTATTATTATTCTTTTTTTTTTTCGTACATGCATTTTATTTAGTAACTATTTGATTTGTGGTGCAGTCACTTCTGTAAAGTATTATATATATTTAATAGATTTTTTAAATAATTTCTTTTTCATTTGTGATTAACTTTATAAGTTTGACTGATCTTGTATGCAATATGTTTTCTCTCCGGCACGATTTTAATACTTGTGTAGTTTATTATTTCCGTTACACAATCTGTCTTTTTGTTTATTATTTTTTTTGTTGTAACTTTTTGACGACCGGGAAATCAAAATTATTTTTATTGAAACAAAATGATATGTTATCGTTTCGAAGAACAATGTAAGATATATTCTTATTTATTAAAAGTGAATGGTGATTAGCCAAAGAAATTTCAAACATCTGACTTTTAACTAAGTATAACTCTTCATTGATATTTATTATATTTTTCTAGTATGTGTTCCTTAAAATACAATCAAAGGTTTTAACATTTGTTTAGGAAAAATGCACATCTAAGCACGACATTTTTAACAAATCATTAATGGGAAACATCAAGTACATTTTCTTCCTTAATCTAATGTGAAATCTTTGATGTTCTCTTTGCGATATGAAAGCAACGATAAGACCACTTCTTGTAACTACATTTAATATAAAATATTGTCGATGTAATTAATACTATGGATAATTAAATTGGAATAGAGATTAGATTATATTCAAAGAATGCGTACTTAAAAATATATTTCAAAAATAAATCTATTTATTACTATATTACCCTCTCTTTTTTTATTGAATCTGAATAAATGCAATCTATGTATATTAAATAAATATATGTATTTGATTAATAATATAAAACATACAATGGGTTCGTATATTAACAAAAAAAAATAAATATAAACAATAATCAAGCCATATATTTCCACAGAATTTTTGTTTCTATTACATATCTTTGAATTCTCCACTTCCATTCAGCAAAAGTATATTGGGATTTTCTTTTTCAAACTCGCTCGGCTCACGCTCTCTATCCTCCTTGCCCCATTCCCCCAACGAAGACATTACGTCCGGTTGTTTTTTCTTTTCTTCTTCCTCTCTCTAGAATTTCACCCAGAAAATAAGAACGAACGTTGCAGATCACAATACTTTATTTAAGAACATTAGAACATGTATACAATTTTAATTTAATCTTTCACCTGTAAATCCTTTTTGGCGAATTTTTCGAACATATTGGCATAAATTTTCTTTTCCTTCTGCAACTGTTCCTTAAGCGTTTTGTTACAAGCGTTTAAGTGTAATTGAGCCGATTTGTTAGTTGGCTCAATCTTAAGAACTGTGGTAAATGCGTCGGCTGCAAGCTGTGCCTCTCCGATATTCAATAATGCCAGACCTTTCCTGAAGTGAGCTTTCTCATTATCGGGATCTACCAGTAAAGCTTCAGTGGCAGCATTCTTAGCTTCAAACATATTATTGCTTTTCAGATAGCACAGAGCCATGTTCAAATTCGAGCTTAAAACCAAAGCTTTTTGTTCTTCAGTTGCGCTTTCTGGATCTAAAACAGATAAATTAATATAATTCATCAAAACAAAATATTTAATATTGTATTTTATACCTTTCTTGAATTCGAGATATGACAAGACTTTCTGGTACATCTTAATTGCCAGATTAAGTTTACCGTCTTTGAAATATTTGGTCCCTTTTTCTTTGAATACTTTGCTGACTTCAATCTTTTCATCAGTATCCATTGACCAACTTTCTTTTGCCTAAAAAGATAATTTTTTATCTATATCTAGCTTGTTATTAAATAAACACGTTATTTATTTGCGGTTTGAGAAGACCACGAAAACGTGATTAGATTAACTTACTTTTTCGAATGTTTTCAATGTGACGGTATATTCGACGGTGGCATCGGAGGGAATGTTGAATTCGAAACTTTCATTTGCAAACGCAAATTTCGGTTTGATTATTAAACGAGAAGTCTCGCCTTTCTTAAAACTCTCCAAAGCTTTTTCTACACCACTGATTACATTAACGTTTGCGCCTTCTCCAATATTGAATGAAACGTCTCTTTCATCAAACACCTTATCACCATGTTTTCCAATCAAATGAACTGAAATATAATATCTTAAGTACTCACAATACTTTTATTTATTTATTTCTTACTTTCAACCATTGCTTCATCATTTGGAGTTGTGTATCCATCACCAGCAGTAATTTGGATTTTTTCAATTGATCCATCTTTGTCTGGACTAAGATCTTCACCTTTCCAACTAATAACTTCAACCTATTTGAAATATATAATTATAAAAAAAAATGTATCAACATAATATTAGAGTGCTTACATCAAACTTAAGTGTAGCTCCAGGGGGAATGGTTGGGGGGCTTCCAGTTGCTCCATAGGCATAATCTGCTGCACAAGTTAGAATGGCTTGTTCGCCCTTTTTCATTGTTGCTACACCAATATCCCATGCCTTAATTACACTTCCTGTAATTTTATTTCAATAAGCAAAAGCAAATTACAATAATATTAGATTAACAAACCTTTTCCCAAATCAAATTCAAATGGCTGATTTCTATCTCTACTGGAATCAAATTGGGTTCCATCCAACAAAGTTCCTGTGTAATGGACAGTAACCTTGCATCCTTCTGGTGGGGTGTCATTGCCTTGGCCTTCTTTGAGGATTTCCTTGAGGACACCTTTGTCCTGCTTTGGAGAGATATCAATTTCGGCGCCAGTCATGTTTCTAGAATTTTCTAAGGAAAATCAATGACTACACGTGTTTTGTTTTCCCAAGGAAACTATGACGAGAATCGATGTTCAGCTTAAATCGATACTATTTTTTCAATCAAAATATAACAGACTGAAATTCACAAGTAATAAATGCAAATGATAATAACAGCAAAATATATTTGCGGCAAATATAAACCTGGCACTGCCTTGCACTCGGAGCTCAGCTGTCAAACTGTTGAATACAATGAAATTATACAATTCATGCAGTTGAATGGAGTTTTCTGGAATAATTTATGTTACCATAGCTACATGGCGGGATATTCAAATTGCATGTACATAGCAAGATATATATGCCAAGCAAGCAGACAAATTTAACATTACTTTACATTGCATTTTCAAAGTAAAAAGTAACATTTTTAAATACATTTATTTGTAAAGAATGAAATTTATTACCAAATATTTAAAGTATATTTGGTTGCATAAGCGATCCATAGTTGTGACAGAGGTTGAGTTAACCAATAAAACATTGAATTAGGGTAAATTTGAAAATGTCTATATATTATAGTGGAACGTTCAAACGTTCTTCAGGAGTTGTAAGTTCAATAGTTAAACATCTGAAGCAAGTAAATTTGAAACCGGTGAAGAAGATCCAAGTGCAATTCGATCCTTTCCATGAAAATGCAGTTACAGCTAGGCACGTAACCTCAAAATGTTTATATCGATCTTCTATTTATAAGACAAAACGGGCGCAAGCGCTCGCCCTTGTCGGGCTGCCCAAATCGATCTAATTCAGCGAAGTTAACGCATTTGTTTTCGTTACAGGGACTTCCTTTATTATATATCAACACCCAAAGTTACCAACACCAATTTAAATTGCATTGTTAAACCAATTGTAGTTTGTGATCGTAGTGAACCAGAAATTAAAGTGGACTTGTCTGATTCAAGGTACTTTATTTCATTTATATATAAGTATATTTTCAGAAAGACTAACCTTCAAATTCATTTCAGTGTGTTAAAATTCAAAGCAAACAACTTGACAGTACTGGAGATTCTGCAGTTGTTCAATAAGCACATAAGTTCCAAAGTGCCAGTTGAAAATATCAGTGCTTCATCACAAACTCAAAAGTTGGAGAAGAAAAAGCTGAAAAAGAAATAAAAATGAGAGGTAATACTCCAACAACTAACAAAAATTATCAGCTGAAACTAATTGAAACAGTCTACAACCAAATACCCTCCTTTACTGATGTTTTTACAGAAGAAACATTTTACATGACTGTAATATGTTTTGTATTGAGTACAATAGTGCTTGTCTTCTTTGTTTCTAGATTTATTACCATCAAAGCTGTAGATTAATATAAATTACTTAGTTATGTATATTTAATAAACAATGTTAAAAAGAAATATATATATTTTATTTATAATTAAATAAAATTATAATTTATATATTTTGATACATACAATAATATCGTAAATGATATTCAAATATTCCATTTTCATATGTATGGTTTATAGTAAATATTTCAATTAAGATAACCATAAACAAGATATTACACTTATTACAACAAAACTTAAGAAATTAGTATTGGCATAACATAGAGTGTGTTCCCATCCCTAACGGTCTCTAGAGTTTCTTGCTCATACTGCAAAGATTGCACCGCTACTTCATTTTCTTCTTTCATAATCGATTCATTCGTATCTTCGGATTCCTGAGGTATCTCGTGTTCCTCCTCCATTTTCAGTTCAGATCCAATTGGCAATGTTATAGTACGCGTATTGCGACGTCTGGTGTGCGTTCTTAAATGCCTTTTCATGTCTGAACGGACACGGAATCGTTTACCGCAAACTTCGCACGGATGTGGCTTTTCACCTGAATTTAGATTTGAGGATATAGATTGTCACATATATAATCATTAAAGTTCAACAAACCTGTATGTATTCTCCTGTGATTTTGTAAATACGAGGAGGCTCTAAATGTTTTTCCGCAGAATTCGCATCGGTAATTCTTCTCGCCAGTATGGATTCTTCTATGAACAATTAACGAGTATTTTCTTGCGAAGTCTTTTCCACAATATTCACATTGGTATTGTTTCTCATCGGTGTGAATAGATATGCAGTGATACTTAAGGTCACCCCATTGTCGGAAATTACGACCACAGAATTCACACCTATATGGTTTATCGCCAGAATGCAATCTCAAATGGACCTTCAACGCACTCGACGCAAAGAAGCTCTTTCCGCACTGTTCACATTGATGCGGCCTGTTCCCGGTGTGACTTCTTTGATGGTAAACCAAAGAATTCCTATGAGTGAATTTTCGATTGCAAACATCGCATTCTAATTCCGGTTTCTTTGCCTTCTTCTTCTTAACTTCATCTTTAACCTCAACTAAACACCAATAACATTATATATAATTGAAGGTAAAATAATAGTAGTTACCTTTGTCTTGAGAATCTTGAGTTTCTGTACATGTAACCAGATGCTGCATTAATATAGCTCTAATTGGAAATGGTTGTTGACAATTTTGACAAACATGTTCTTTTGCTTCAAGCTCTTTTAAGTCTTCCTCAGTTGCATGGAGTTCATCTTGGTACCTTTAAATATATTATTATTATTGCTCTAGTAGCAGCTTTGTTAATAATTCACTTACCATGTTTTGTTATCATCATCATCTACTTCTGCAGCATTTACATCAATACCAGCCATTAAGTCTTCAGGTTCACTGAACTCATTCAAATCAACTTTATTATGAAATTCCCTCATATGTTGTTCATAAGTCTTTTGCCTTCTGAAATATTTTTTACATTCAAAGCATGTAATTTGCAACAATGATGCTAATATTGAATCCTTCTGTGGCTCTTGCTCCAGCTTCATTGGAGATTCCTAGTAGAAAGAAAAATACATAATATATTTAAATATATTCTTGTTGATTGAAACAACTTACTTTGATATCATCAGATGCAAGTGTAGGAATAACTGAAGTAGTTATGATAGTGGATGAAGCTGATGTAACAACTTGGCTCTCATGTTTTTCAGTAGGTTCATAATGAACTTTCAGATGTTCAAAGAATTCTAGCTGTTCACTAAAATTGGCTTTGCAAATCTGGCAAGAAAACATATTTGGTATTGGAGTTATGGTGGCTTCACATTCTACTTGATGATCAGCAAATTCATCAACATTTACTAATTGATCACAAAAATTACACTTCTGCATTCTTTTCTTAAGTTTTCTTGAAATACGTTTCTTATGTGGCAAACTCTTTTTAGCAGTACGTTGATCCCTATTATCAACATCAGAATCTTTATGTAAAATTGTTGTTTCTTCTTCCTCTGCCTTAATAAGTTGTATGCTAGTAGAATCATCATAATCAAAGTCTGCTTGTTTATACAAGTTATCTGCGTCTACAATTTGTAGATATCCAGTCTGTTTGTCAGCCAATAGAACTTGCTGGTCTCCTAAAGTGACTTTAGAGCCATCCAAACTTCCTAAAGATGGTAAAGTTGTGTTAATTATAACACTACCATCTTGTTGTGTTTGTTGCTGCTTCTGTTGTTGGCTAAATTGAACAGCAACCAAAGCGGCTGCTAAATTACGATCCTCTTCAGTCAATTCTTGACCAAGCAAGTCTTCAGAATAATTAACTGGAATAAAGTCTCCACCTAAATCAACTACTAATCCATTTGGATGATGCAATAAATCTGAACTTAAGAGTTGTGCATTTTCTACTGTCATTCGCTGTATCATATATTGGGATCCGTTTTCATCAGAAGTTATTGTAACATTACTTAACAATTCCCTGTCGCTGGCCTCCATGACGTCTTTTTGAATTTCGCGCGACTGCAAGAAAACCGGAAAGACAATTAAAATCCACAATTCGACGTTTCAAGGTCCCTTACGTTCTGTTCCTCGATCAGGTTTTCTCGGCCACCGCCACAAAGATATACGACCTGGTTCACTGTAAAAATATTATAAATTACATTTTATGACATTGATGTTTGCAATCAAATCAAAAAATTATGGAAATATTTCAATACAAACACTAGAATTGACAACAGTGCTGTATGAAACGGAAACAATGGCTATCCAGCCAACTCACTGTTGCCACTATTAAAGATTTTTAAAAACAAACCAACGCCCAAACACGAGCAATCACCACAATTTACAACTGAAGATTATTAACTTACTCTTTGTTCTATGCAGTAGCCTAAATATTTTTGTTATTATTCTATTTAGTTTAATAATATCACTAAATAACTACTTCATTCGGCAACGTTGTTCACATCACGAACGCCATCATGAACACTGTTGCCAATGCAAAAGAAATGTAACAACAAAATCTATCAAGTAAACACAATTTCATAATAGAATTTAATACTTTATTTTATCACACAGTAAAAGTTTAATGAAGAAACTATTTATAAAAAAAACAGGTGCTAATTGTTTATAATATGTGGTTATAGGCATTACTAAATGGCAACAACTATGTTGGACGTGCGTTGGTACATGTGTGGCGGTAAATTTAAATTATTAATATCCCAAATAAAAAGCTATGCCACATTGAATCCACATACTTTTTTCTTTTATAGATGCTGGTATTTGCAATGAACATACTTGTCTTTCACGACTCGGTGTGTAATATAATGGTACATCTAAATATTTACTATCATTTAACGCCGTTTGCTAAAAACACAAAATTCAATAGTATTACGACATTAAATTCAATCGCTATTACCTTCTCTTCCCATGTTATATAACAAATCGGTGTCGTATTGAGAGTATCTGAGTTTTCAGAGCATTGCAGCAAATTGATTCCATCAAACAACGCACCCTCAATTAATAAACCAGACACGCTTATAACATTCGATCGACTCTTCCAGATTGCTTTTAATTCTAGTTCATCAATAGGAATATTAGTTTGCCTAAAATTACCAGGAAATAATATTATAATAATAATTTAATTAATTCTCATAGCCCTTACCTTGCAAAATACTGTTTGAAAGCTGCCAAGAATGTTTCAGGATTGAACAATTGTGCTAAATTTAAATTATCATTGTAATAACTTTCTTGTTGTTTGTTCCATTCAGAAATGGTTAATATTTTTTTCATTATATCCTTCAAATATTTGGATGGTTCCTTGGGGCCTTCCCATAATTTTAACCATTTATTTGGTGTCTAAAAAATATATATATAATTAATACATAAAAAGTGTACAGATTGTTGAAATTAACTTGAGCGTTTAGTAAACTTTCGGCCACATCGAAATCAACTTCATCCGCGGTCAGAAATCCTTTAGAAATTTTGTTGAGAATAAAAAAATCTCTATGAATTTTCTGCACCAAAATGATAGCATTTTGAAACTCATTTTGAATGAACATAATCAAAGAATTCTCTGATGCACTTTGCAGTTGTGTCGGGTTTAATCGCAAAAATTCCTGTTCGTGATTTAATTTTTTCCACAAGCTTATATAAGGAGTCAAACCTTTGTGGAATATTTCTTTAGTATACTTGTTTGAAATATGTGTAGAAATATGTAAACCTAAAATAAATATTTATATTTTTCAAACGGATAAAATTTAAAGTATATTACTCTTTAAATGTTGCGTAATTTGTGTCGATACGTTTTTCTCCCAAGATTTATCCACGTTTTGGGGTAAACCGAAGTAGGCTGGAACATCTTTATTTTGTAATTGGTTGATGATGTTTATGTAATCTTGGTAGTTAGGCACGGATGGCAACGATTGGTTTAATCCTAACGGTTTCCATCTGTGACTTAATACTTCATCATTGAAATATTGTCTCAAATATGATTCGAGAACAGTTAAATCTTGTTTCTTGTCGATTCTGCCACCGTAAACAGCTCCAATGCTCCATCCAATTATATATTTCCACTGTATCTGCGACTGCCAAAGTTCTTCAGACAGATTCACCATAGTTGAGAAGTCCAAGTCACTAAATTCGTACCATTTGGACCATCCTTAAATAAAATATTAGTATAAAGTTTTATATTTATTAATTCTTATAAAATACCTTGAGGAATATAGTTTCGTCTCTCTTGTAGTATTGCATGTACACAAGCCAGGACAAAGAAAAACTTTGATGTGTTTGTATTTAACTTTTCCAAATATTCTTTGCCGTATGTACTGTATAATTTCATTAAATTACTCTTTATGCCTGCGGGTGCTTCGTAAGAAATTTTTAAAGAATTTTCGGCTAAAACCGAACTGAAATTATCGTGAGATTCGGTAACTAGCCACAGTCTGCAAAATGGAAATTAATTTAAGTTGATCAAATAAATAATTAAAATTTAGTATTTAAAGTGTTAATTTACCTAAAATTAGGATGTGGTTCCATCGACTGCAAATGCTGGCATAAAATGGGAAGCCAAGAGGTAACAAGATGCAAATTTTTCAGCGTTAACCAATGGCCAAATTGAACTGAATTATTTAACATCGATATAGCTTTGGATTCCTGTCCTTCTCCCATAGAAATCTAAATATTTACAACTATTATAAAAGCATACATTCAAATAATTGAAATTTACCTCTGTATATTTATCAGAGTTAACAATGTTTGCAGCTAATTCTTTTATTTCAAGAGATGGATCATTTCCAGAAGTTGTGATTAATAAAATAGGCTGACTGCTCGTGGTTTCTTTATACACCTGCGCTAATCTCATTACATCCAAATTAAGATTTTGTATACCTAAAATTAGTTAACATTTCAATTAAAAAAAGGATTAAATCATTAAAGTATTAAACATTCAACCTGTCATTTGTAGAACGAAATGGCACATTGCTGAATATAAACGGTCAGGTCTTAGCGCTTGGATTGTGATCACCTTTTCAAATTCACTCAATTTGCAGTGCTTTGGAATATTCGTTTCAGCATCGCCTGTTTCCATGAAACTCTTCCATAAATTACCGTCATTCAATTGAAGATTGTTAAACACTTGCGGCAACGTCATCTTCAATATATAAAGCTTAAGTTGTAAGTAAATAATTTATAATTGTTATTACCTGAAGAATAAGCACTTGAGATAACTGTTGTTCTGGTAACCAGGATAGTGAACTTCGATCAAATTGCGATTTGCCGCCGACAATAGCATTGCCCAAAAAGAAGTTCCACTCGGTAATCGGAATATTTTCTGGGAACATTCGGTGGATCAAATGCATTAAGAACGTTAAACGATCGCCCTTGAAAATTCCTCGCCCCATGTAATTATACAAATTTTGAATCATAATTTTATGCGAATAGTTGTCTGTATTTAATCCCTAAAAACAAATATATAAAAATATATGTTTAAAAATTTGCAATTTGAACAAACCTCAGTGGATGGTAGAGACATCAAAAATAGAGTTGTGAATGAAGATACGGAAATTGAGTATAAAACGTTTTTCTTCGCAAAATTCGCTGCAGCGAAATACAAAGAACTTCCGAACTTTGAAATGTCTTTATAAATATTATATTCTTCTCTCAACTTAGTTTGCACTTGATTGGATTCGATCAAAGCAGAGTTGATTGCCGTTGAACTTGCTTTTGTTTCTTCAAGTGAGCTCAGCAAATTCTAAATCGGACAATGTATTTTTTTACTAATAATTAATATTTGAGAATATTACCTTATTTTGCAGAATATCTCCTGCTGAACTGGCCAAATCTTCCAATAATCTGTTTTGCAAATTATATTGTTTCTCCTGCAACTCTTCCCTTTCCTTCAACAACACCTTCCTTCTATTTTCTAATTCTGGACTTTCTTGCCTGATGGCGCTTTCTAACAATTGTTCTGTTAGACCATCGTTTGTTGTGGTGAAATTGATCATGTTCAAAATTGCCAGTAAATCTGCTTGCAATTGTAGATGAGAATTTCTGCTACTCAAGATCAATTTGAAATCTTTATGATAATCAATTAGTTTCCCATTTAAGTTAATCAAGACGCGTTCTCCTTGATACGTAAATTGTTTTTTGAATATCGCAAAAAGTATTGGTGAAACAGTTTCAACTTCTTCGATCAAAAGTGTTTTACCGAATCTGTAAAAAATAATAATCATTTATCAACTACAAAAATAGTTTAGTATTATTTATACCTAATTGCTAATTCTAACGAAATATTAAATTTAGCGAAATCCTGAGTGGTGTATTCTAGATTGGTATTTTTAAACTTGTTCTTAATCCAGTTTATAGCCATAGATGTTGGGTCTATTAAGAATGGACATAGTTTGGACTGGAATAAAATAAAAACAATAGGTATTTGGATAAATTTAAATATTGTTGTAGATACCTTTACAGTAGAAATTGCATTTTGTATAGATAAACGATCAGCGGATAAACCTTCACTTTGCCATTGCATTTGTTCCCTTTCTGAGCTTAAGAATGTTTCTAATGAAAACTCTATATTTCCACCAAGTGATTCAATCCATTCTTTCAAAATGATACTGCAATTACAAAAATATAGAAATTTATATATATATTAAAAATAACTTACATTCTTCTATTTTCCGGTTCTCCGCTTAAGTAAGTTATAAAAGCAGATGATAATAAACTGAAAGTGCTTAATTTTTTCAGGTCATCATCCAATTCTTTTGACTGAAACAGAAATAAATTATGCTTTATTACAATACTTTATTTTGTTGACTATTACCTGTGTCTGCCACCTATCATACTCATCGCTTAACTTTTCAACTAGTCCCTTTGCAGAATTCAGCGTTTCCTCGGCTGCGTTCAGCTTTATTTCTAGCTCTGCAGCTTCCCTTGTGAAAGTTGATAATTGACCTTTCAGTTTGGCAACGGTCGCATCCACATCCAGAAGACCAGCACTCAATTCACTCAACTGAGATTCAGCGTCTGTTAGATTTTGTTGCAGCTTATTTTGTTCTCGTTCTAAAGGTCTAATCTTCTCTACGACCTTAGAATATCTGACATTTGCTAAAACCCATGCAGCTAAGGGAGCAGCAGCCACGGATGCCCGTTTAGCTGATTTAGGATCAAATGACTCGCTCTTATTTTGCACCAATTTCTCAACGGATTGTCGATTATCGGGTGTGATTCTGCTTGCATCAAATGATCTAATATCCTCTTTGACACCGCGTTTTGCTAGGAATGTTTTCATACTATTCCAAGAAGTGTCTTGGATTCCCATTAAACGTAATACACCCTCGAGAATATCTCTGATCACTTCAGGAGGGGCTCGCAATGAGCGAATTTCTGATAAAGACTCATTTTTAATGTTACCAACCGCCTGACGAGCTTGCTGTATTAACGGTTCCACTTCAGCCAATTCAGTTTCAATTTCCTTTTTCCTGCAATAAATAAATATGCAATAAATATAAAAATAAATAGGAAACAGAATGCATTACCTTTTCACTAGTTGTATATTTTCAGCTTCTGTTTGCTTCTTCAATGTTTCCATTTCTTCCTTATGCACATTTGCATTCTTCATGGTATTACTGATCATATCCAAGGCTTTATTAGCTTTTCCTTGTTTCTCTGACAATTTTACTTGTTGTTCCGCCGCATTCACTTTCAGATCTGCAACTACGTTTTTGGCTTCGTTCAATTTAGCAACACCCGCTTGCAATTTCTTCTGTTTGCTAATAATCATTTTCTCTTTCTCTGTATATATTTCTATATACATATTAATCATTGTAATATAACGTATTGGCGTTAACAGTTTCGAATCAATCGACGAGTTTAATATTTTCTCAAATCCTTCACACGGCTCAACTTGGACTTCCTTGTCCTTCTTTTCATTGTACCTAATTATTAACATTGATATAAATCATTTAAAACGAGTATTTATATACGTACTTATTTATCAACAGATTTGGAATACTTTGTATTGTTTTCGTAGACCATTCGTTCATCCAACAAAGGTAACACTTTTGGAGGAGCGAAGGACAACTTTCTAAGATTTTCCAAAATGAATCGTTATCCTTTTCTAAACACACAATAACGTGTAGTTTGTTTCTCACTCCTAGAATATTGTAAGCATTAGATCGACTAAATTATTGTGTATTATATTATTTACTTTCAACGAAAAACTTGTATAAATCCCCATCGAAATTTTCCCTACTGGCTTCATCCTTTAATCCGGCAATCAAAGATTCTTGTTCCGCTGCATTGTATAAACCAGGGACCTTAATAACATGTTTAATTATTTAATAACACGTGATTAAATTGTTAGGATAACTTACTTCTCCGGAGGATAATAATATATTAAGTATATTCAAAATTGGTCCTTTCATCACATGATCTTCTAAGAGTAAATATACTTGTTCACCTTCAACGCCCGAAAATTGCATTGCCTTATAAAAGAAAATTAAAACAAAATAGACTACTTATATTCACTGGAATGATATTATAGACAAACCAATTTTAACTCATTGCGAAAATAATTTTCATTTGCAGTCGACGCTACAATCAACCGAGATGATTCCAAGGTCGAAACGATTTTCAATGCAGATCTTCTACCGAGCCCGGCGCTTCCAACCAAAACGCAGTTACCTCCTGCTGCGGATAAAGCTCTGCTCAAATTTGCAGTTAAGTACAATAATTCAGGAATTATCTGAATATTCAAATTGAATCCATCTCGCTCTATCTCGATGCAAAAAAATAAAAGCAAATTAAAGTCTTTGAACAAGAATGGAATCATTTACTATACCATATTGTATAATGCCCTTATTGACAATTGTACTCCAATCATCGGCATTTAGTTTTGTTAAAGGTGTATACAATTTGTTCGTGTTAAATTGCGATGAAGCAACGTAAAAGTTATCTAAAACATTTCTGACAACATTCATTTTGTTCCATTCCATTTGTATACCGTTGTTTATGATTTCAATCATTTTGTTACGATCTTCGTCAGACACTAGACGATCGTAGAATAAGCGTAAAGCTTCGTTACTAATTATCTGGAAATATTTATGGTTGGTAAATTGTATTCATCAAAATTTCATGTATTCTTACTTCAAGCAAAAAAGTTTCTGCGTCACTTGTTTGCAGTTTGTATCTTAAAATTCCTTTACACCAGTTTGTTACATCGTGTGGACTGAACTTGTAATGCTGTTGATCGGTTTGCGTAAATGTGTCCTTCATCTAAAATAATTTACAATTTGATTTTATTATAAATAAAGTTAAATTAATATGTTTTACCTGATTATAAATTTGTAGTAGAGTATTTGTAAGTTTTCCGATTTTAGGATTATTGAGTATGCATTGTTTTAAAATTCCACCAAGATATGTTGAAAAAATTATATTTATATCTTCGTGCTGTGGTAAACTATAAAATATTAATTAATAAATTAATTGAGAATTAATATATTTTAAACAAACATACTCTACGTTCCATATATGCACTATTGATGTGAATCTCGAGGAGAGTTTATTTGTAGCCTCCAAAGATCCAACAATAGTTATATTTTCGATTCGTACCCAGTCGAGAGTATCGTCGAAGAAGCCTTTGTAAACAATTAACTGAAACAATGATAAATCCAAGTAACCGCTTGTCAAATATATAATGTCCAGATATATGTTTGAACTACCAAATGCCTTAAAGCAAAATTTCTTCTTGTTGGAATTGAAGCCAGTTCACATCATCCTCATACCGTTCACCCTAATCATTGTTTACAAGCTGTGCAACATGGATTTGATGCGTGTAAGTAGAACCGTCCTCGCAATGTGTGTTTTCGTTAACGAACGACAATTATTAGTTTATTCAAAATTTACAAGATAGCAAAGGATCCACGCATAGCACGGAAACTAAAGAAAAACTTAAAGACTTGTACCGCCAAAAGGACCAGCAAATCAAAGTCCTCGAGGATAGAGTGAAATGCCTGGAGAGCGAAGTGGAAAAGCTGCAGGTAGATGGTAAAGATAAATTCAATAGTGGCGTTGCGGATATTCTAAAGAAGTACGAGGCTCTAATAGCGCAGCTCATGAAGAGCAATAACGAATTGAAGCACGAGAAACGTGTGAATACGGTGCACGTGGATGATTTGGAAAAGACCATAATCGAACTTATGCAAAAGTACGAGTTGGCAAAGAACGTGATCCGAGGATTGGAGTCAAACGAGAAGGAATTGCAGACGCAATTGGATAAATTAAGCCTACCACGGATCAAGAGTTCGATATCAAAGCGCGACAGTGTCGGTAGGATCCAATCGAAAGGCAATTTGAAATATAGTAAAAGGTATATGAATTGAGAAAACAACTTACCTGTTGCAAAAACTCAATCAGCATGTTCGTTCCCCATTTATCGGTTTTCAGTAGGTGGAGATTTTTAAAATATAAAACCAAATTACCCCTCCTCGGTTTGTAGATGCGCCCTTTGCTGCTATTGACCACCAAACAGTTCTATGTAATTGAATAAAATAAAAGGTTTCATAATTATTACATCAAGATTTTTTCTATTATAAATCACCTGTATTATTTTATGAATTATGTATTTCGGAGTTACATGAGCACTACAGTGAATAGTCGCGATTTCTGTTTCAGACAATTCCCTTACTACGTACTCCAAAATTAATCTGTAAAAAATGTTATTAATTAAAAAAGTTATTCGTGCTTAAGAGATAATTACGTCTTTGCGCTTCCATGGGGACCAACTAATAAGAAATGTTCCTCGTTGCCCACGTGAAACCATGTTCTCAGTACGTCGATGGTGTGTTTAACTTGTGCAGTTAAAACCAAAGAAATATCTTGCTGGAAATCCTTTACATTTTGTTTCTGATCTGTAAAATACGAGTCCACCAAATCTCTGTCTCTGTTATAAAAAGCGCGTGTCGGAACCGCCGGAGAGGATTCACCGGTCCATTCAAAAATCTTAAAAATTTAATTGAATTTACCGTAGATATATGATTAAATTGTTAAGTACCTGTTGAGCAAAGATGTCTCTAAAATCTTCGATAATTTGTCCACCTAAACCGTTTATTAGACCAACTACAAATTGAGCCTTACTCTCACAATCAACTAATTGCGAAAGTGCTGTACTTGCTAAAGCAATTTGCGGTTTTTCTATTATCAATTCTGCTTCATTATGAATCCAGTCTAGTGCTAAAATGATATATGTTTTTTTATGTTAATGAGAGGTGGATCAACCATTTCCAAAATACCTTTATAAAAATAATCATTAACGTAATTGGTTAGAAGCATTTCGACGTTTTCCGGTTGCTTCGATAGGAAGTTATTCACAAAATCTCTGATGTTAACATCTGATTCGTTTAAGAAAACAATTCCCATGCGAGAAATAGTCGCGGGCGATGCATAGCTCAAATCGTGCGTTTCGAATATGAAATTTACATTTGGACCGAATTGCACTCTCCAACCCGAGGGCAATGAAAGCAATCTGTTGTCATCCAAGACAGAATTTAATGATTCCACCCATTCCGGATCAATATCTCCGTCGCTCACAATTAGAGACCAGACGTCTGCAAACAAAGATAAAAAAATCATGAGTGCACTTATCGAAATTAGTTCTGCTTTAAATACTTAATGGCTCGTTGGTGACTTCCAAACTGTACTTTGTCAATACTCCATCCGTCCATTGCCTGGTATCAACGTCAATCTGTCCGAGCAGTTGATTTCTCTGCATGCATTTCGGATTGAAAACATGCTGTTTTATAACGCTGCCCATTTTAATTAAAGCCTAAAATTAGATAATTCTTTTACGCTCTTATTTATAGAAATATAATCGATTTACATGGATTAAAACATTTCTGATTGTTGTTTTTCCGGAACTCGCAGGACCCACGATAGCCACACCCATCCTCTGTTTTAATTGCTCATATAATTCCAAGCATTTATTCATCTACAAAAAAAAACAAGTTATAATTTTTTTTTTTTTAACAGTCAATAATTTACTTGTCTCTCATTCTTCTGCATTCCGAGCTCCAAGAAACTCTCCTCCAAAGCGCTACATATTTTTGCGTTATTTTCCTGCTGGAATTCCACTCCAGGGAAAACATCTTTTATGAGACCATCGAATATTTCACTATCGGAAAATGTCAACTTGGATAACGTATCCAATCGTATCGCCGTAATCACTAATTTCCACTCGGCCTCCGGACCGATCTCGTCATGAGATTTTCTAAACTCTTTTAGTGCTCTTCCACATCCACTCAAAACCGTTCTCAACGCTCGCAAACCCCAATCGTAATGTTGCTGTTTGCTCAGCAACTTTTCGGCGAGCGAGAAAAGTTCTATCAACTTTTTCCCAATGGAATTTGCATTTTTGTAACCGTCGCAGTGCAACAGAGTTCTGGCGATTTGCTCGTGATCCGGATGGGTCATTATTACCGGTCTGAATAATTGCTTTAAGTTATCTGGTAATTTGTTCCTTCCGCCGTAGCCACCGCCTGCCGGATTCAGCGTTACGAATATACCACAAAATTTATTAACATCAATCTGTAACATTGTGAGTAAATAATTTCATATATTATAATACTTGTTTGTTAAAGTTACTTCTATATCCGATAATGTGACTGTCGATTTGTGATTTTTTATAGCGTTTTGTATTGGCTGAATGTGCATGGATATGGCAGACAGAGTGGCCTCATCTAGTCGATTAAATTCATCAAAGCAACCCCAAGCGCCGGATCTCACTAAACCCGATAAAATTCTTCCCATCGACGCAGTATCAATTCCCTATAAATTATCTCTGATTAATTGTATCTTTTATATTGATTAATGTCCATACTTCATCGCAATTGAAAACTAATACTTGACGTCCGAGTAACGAACCCAAAGCCTTCACGGATTCCGTCTTTCCAGTTCCAGCTGGTCCATAAGGATTTCCTCCCATACCCAAATACATCGCCTAAAGTAGTACACATTTATATAACAAATTATTTAATAATTACTTAAAATCTTACTTGAGTTAACGTTAGGAAACACTGATCCGTTAAAGGTGTACGGACCAATTTCTGCGTGTTCCCAATATACTCGAAAGCATATTCCATCTTTGCATTCACCATTTTTATGATAACATCTCCTTCTGTGTTAGAATAGAACCTGCAAAAGTATGAATCACAAAAAATACTTTAATCTATATTAAAACAATTACCTTAATTGCTTCTGCCAGTCCCAATCTTTAATGTTTGTAACATTGTTATCCTTCAAATCGTCGATAACCGAAAGATGGTGAATTGTGTCTAATAGCAACGCCTTAAGCTTCAATTCCAAAACGTTCGAATCATCGTTACTACCAAGAGAATCATCAACGTTATCGACGTTTTCGTTCAAATCCAATGAACTATAAAAGTTCAATTGATTCTAAAATGATAATATGATATACTTTTGATTTTAGTCAATATTAATTAATGTACTTTGTATGTGAGAGAAAGTTGAGAAAGCGATGAACTAGCAATGGCTTGTTCGCATTTGCTTGTGAAATTAATGGAATCCGTTAAACATAAGATTTGCGACGGATATTTTAGTGGATCCGGGGATTTTCCTTCACCTAAACAGCTTACTAATAAATTCTTCAATGTTCGCTGCATTTCCTTGACTAATGTATTTAGCCAATCCTTGAAACAATATAAAACTCATAATCACAAAAAGAGTTCTGTTAGAAATTAGTAATTACCTCAACTGGCTGATTTATATTAACCGGTGTTGACAGTACAACGTTTTCTCCTTGTAGAGATTTCATCGTAATTATATTTTTACCATCAGAATCCAATGTAATTCCATGTATTCCAGAAAACAATTTCTTTAGATGCGACTGAATTACATGTTCTTTCGAGGATTGTCCTATTACCTCAAGCAAATCATCATCTCCCAGAAATAAAAACCTAGGAAACCTGTTTCTTTTCTCCTACAAAAAAGGTATTTTATAAAATTATATTTAAATAGCTATAATTTGATAAAATTATATCATTACGGTAAGAAAATCTTCCAAGCTTTTCTGGCATCTTCCCAGTTGATCTGCGAGATTCTCGAAAACGGCCCTCAAATTTGGATATCGACAAAGAGCGCACACTCTGGAATCGTTTTCAATAAACTTTAGGACATTTCGGAAATCCCGTTCCAATTTATCGAAGCGTGCTTTTTCCTGCCCCAAAGTTCCGCTGCCGAAGATAGGCTCCAAGTAAACCCATCTAAATTAAATAGTTAAGAAAAAGAACGAAGTTTTGAAAGTAAAATGAAACTTGCTTTCGTTGAATTTGCGCTAGGGACGTTAAATATTGATCCAAATCGGCTAAGCGGTTTTCCCACGCGTTCGCTCGCTCCGAGAAGCTCTCATAATCCGCCGAGTTTTTCACGGATTGCAACAGGCTCTGATTATCTCCAATCCTATTTAAAATTTCCTTAAAATCTTTTATAAGAAGGATTTCTTTGCCGTGGGAATCCAAATGCGGAGCCAATTGGAACCGAGCTTGCACATCCCATTGCTCCAGTTCCGCTAAAGCCTGTCTCACGATTATTTCACTCGCAGCTTTCTTGCATAAAACCTGAACATAATTAATCAGTATAAAGTTTAGTATAAAAAAATAAATATTTTAAATATTAATACCTGCAATTCTGTTTGTTTGATGGCTAGGTCACTGGGGTTTTCTAGAAAGTCCTTAAGTGTTAACATATCCAATGGTTTCGAAGGTATTCCCAAAATAGAAAATGCCTCAATCCAATGTTTATCCGTAAAATCTTCGCCTTTCAGATACTTCAAAACTGGAACGGCGTCCTATAAAAAAAACGATTATAATATGTATGATGCTAATATTAAATATTGACCTGGAATTTATGTATTTCTTGTAAAATACGCGTAACCAAAGCAGTATTTTCTTGAGACTCCAATTTACTTTGCCATTCCGTTAGGAAATCTTCGAATTTGTACGTTTTCTTGCGAAAAACAATCCACTCTTCGTTGCTTAACGATTCTAGCTCTAAAACCGCAGTTAATAATTACATAAATAAATTAAATTTAAATATAATTCATAATTTACTTGAATAAAACTCTTCAAACAATTCCCACACCTTCTCCTCGCGTTCCAGATCGTTCTGAATTTCCTCACCTATTTCGAACATTGGAATTTCCATATTAAACCGTTTATAATCTTCACTGAAATTTCATAATTATTTATCATAATTTACAATATATTTGAGGAATCTACATCAACTTATTTCTCTGGTCTTCGATTTGCGCCCATTGACCTTTTTTCTCTTTTATGTTTGCCAAATGCGTATTCAATTGTGTTAGAGATTCACTAGCTATTTGGCCGGAATTCGGTCTGGGTTTTACTTGCTCCCATTTCGCCGCAAAACGTTCCATCTCTCCATTCAAATTTTCGTTGGCAACGTTTAAAGAACTCTTTATATTGTCTACCTAAAAAATAAATATTTACCATTTAAAATGCTAATATAAATAATTATTATTTTCACTTGTTTAGCAATTATATGTTGGTAATTTTCCAATAAACTCTCTAATCTTTCCCAAGCCGCTTGTAATCGCTTAACAGAATCTATGCGTTCTCTAGTCCAACTTGCTAAATTCTCTGCTTTTTGTATCATTTCCTGGTAGATCTTCGTCATCTGTAATAAATAAATTATCAGTTAATACAATTGACTATTATTATACATTTCATGTAATTTACTTCTGGTCGTTCTGTAAGAATATTAGAATGAGACGCATCAGCTTCTCCAATCTGATCTAAAGTTAGAGGCTGCCTGTTTAGCGTCGCAGTAGAAGTGTCAACATATTGTTGTAATTTAAGTACATTCTGCACAATTGAATCTTTCAAAGTAACTACAAGTTGGTCCCAATAACTGCGATTGTGAGATTCCAAATCCGATCTTAATCTTGAAAGTCCTATTATAAAACAGCCAACGCGTTCTTCCGTGCTAAATCATAATCAATTAATTAAGTTTTAATAATGATGACGATGATGATCAAACCTAGGCAGTTTAGCTATTTCCTGTCCAAACGTTTTTGAAGATCTAAAATGCAAATCCCAATGTTGACTGGTAATTAGTTGCGAAGAATCCAAAACACCAAGAGATAACCAAGAGCTCCAATGTTGCTTAACACCTTCCAATTGTTCAAACAATTTATCGGTATTTGAAGAAACTTGGTTTAACTTTTCTTGACACCTAAAATAATATTAATAAATAGATATCATTGCACTTAATTATTGAACTTACTTTTCTAATATTTTGGAAAAATGTTCCGGATTATCTGATATTCCGCGGAAAGTTCTCGGTATCTCTAAGAAACGTTTCATCTGTTGGTCGTATTTGTCTTTCAAAGTTTTTTCATCGGGAACAAAAGCTAATTTATTACCTCTGTACACTAACTCTGCGTAAATTTCGGGTAAATATAGATGAACAGTATTTAAACTTTTCTCGTATTCCTTTTCCAAAACAGTGCAAAGTTTTTTGTCCAAATCAACTTTCCAATTTTGCAAACTCATGAATCCTTTTGCTTGCACCTGACTCACTAAGTCTCTCATGTGTTTCGCAGCGAGTTTCCATTTATCGTAGTACTTGAGCAAATCCACGGAATTCAATGCATCTATCTTATCCAATACTTGGAAATGGTAGGACGTCAACAAATCGTTTTCGGTCGATAATTTATCCACGGCAGTTTTTAAAGTTTCTACATATTTTTCAACCGCTTCAATATCACCCCAAGACACGACCTCCTGATTTTGTACTAGACGCGATAACTCCACTGCACTAATAAGCATCATCGGTCTTTGAGAAGGGATCATTTTGTCGCCAATCGTGTTATGAAAATTCGCAATCTAACGTAAAATAAAGAATTAGAAAATATTATATAAAATAATCTACTAAATCACCTGTTCCAAATATTTAGCAAACTTAATGAATTGTTTTGCGTGTTCACTTGTTTTTGTTATGATTTCAGGAATGTTGTAGCCCAAAGCTGACAACTGACGGACTTCAGATATCAAACCGACTAATCGAGGAGCGTAATTAACTTTCATTAGTTTGTTGGTTGTAAATTGCACAACTGGATCCGTTTCGCATAAGCTCAGTGACTTATCTCTTATTTGAGCAACAATTTCACTCGTCCAAGATTCAAATAACTCATTATTCTGGGCTTTAAGATCTCTGATCAAGTCTGAAGTATATTGTTTAAGCTCTTCAAACCCGTACAAATCATCCAACAAATTATTTGTTATAGTTAGAATATGATTAGCCTATAAGAAAACCAGTTAAAATTGTTTAAAAATACTTTAACGAGAAAGTACCTTAGATTCCAATTGACGAGTTCCAATAATTTCAGCAACAACTTGAGGTGTTTCATATTTCGTAGAAAGCAACGGCGTTTCAGTCATTTTCATGCTTAAGTTCTTGATGTAGTCTTGCAAAAGACTTAATAATAATTGCCGTTCGTTTTGCAAAGTGGATTTTAAGACAGGTCTCGCGATTAATTCAGAATATCGATCAAACTCACGCATCAGCTACAAAAAAATGAATGTTTACCAAAATATTTACTCAATATGTTAAAAGTATTTTACCTGTCTCGTATTTGACTCCATTGCTTTAAGTTGTTTCTTCAATTTATTCGCTACTCTTTCCTCCGCCGGCTTCAACATATACTCAAATTGCTTGGAAGCTGTATCCCATGAATGTTGAGTGTAATCTCCGCACTGCATAATATTCAGATTCAAAAATGGTTTAAACATTCCATCAGTGTTCAAGTCATTCCTTTCGGTTTCGCTCAACAATCGAGTTAACTGCTTGTGAACTGTTTTTATGTTAACAATATCTTTCAAACGGTTTACTAGTTTCGCAAGAGATTCTGATTGAAAAGGTGGTCCTTTCCATTGGTGCAACGAGTAGTTTGGCCAAAAAATTTCCGTAAGTTCTTTGCAAGTCGAGTGCCATGCATTCCCTAAACCAATACACTGATCGAGTAGTTCATTGGCTTCGTTAAATTCTGTTTCCCAGATGTTTATTTCCGCAAATTGTTTCACAATATACCCAATCAAATCCGAAGCTGAAACAAGGAATTAAATAAATTTTAGTTTTCAAAAGCATTTTTTTTTTGCATACAGATCAGTTCCATCAGGTGCTCAATCCGAATCCTCGGATAAGGAGGTTCGTTGCGCCAAAGATCATCCAGAATATTGTGCGCACTTTCCAATACATTTTCTACATCGGAAATTGGTAGAGCTTCTAAAATACTTTAGCAACAAAATTGTTATGATTATTTATTAGATATTAAGCATATATATTTACCTTAGGTCTCTAGCTAAAGGCTTTAAAATCTCAAGAAACGAAGAACCTGATGTTTTTTCAATCCTATTTTTTGAAGAATTGCACACATTGTGCCAATACTCGACTTCGTGATTAACAGATAAAATAACTAAAATATATATTTAGTATGTTAATAACAATTAGATTCCAAATCTATTACCGGATAGTGAATTTCCATCGACGTTCTTTAACGGATCTTCGGTGAAGTCGGATAACGAACATCTTAAATCAGCTTGTAATGAAGATATGTGTTTTTCAATATTGGAACTATTAACAGATTGCTTTAAGTTCTGGAAATTAATTTAGTTAATTATCGTCGATTGTTTGTAGTTTTTTACACGTACGCTGTGAATTAAAGGTGAGAAAACTCTATCCAAACTGTGGTAAAGTGCCGCTCTTAATGAGCCTTGAAATGAAGTGATGCATAAAGATTGCAATAAATTTTGGTCGGTTAATAGAACTTCTTTATTTTTGTAAAAAACGACCGTTCGATCTTCAAAAGAAGAGTCCTGCATAGTAAATATAATATATTTATAAATGAATGATGCTAACTTTTTGTATATCTTACATTTGCGAAAAAACGTAAACGTTTATTATCATTTTTACACTCTAAATTAGCGCACACGATGAAATTACGCTCATTGTCTAGAAAGTCTTCAAGGATATTGATATTCGAAATATCCTTTTCCCACGTGTCTTCTGTTATTTGAAAGCCTAGATGGCTACCTATACATTGTGGGATCGTTATTGTTTATTTTATATAAATGTTGGAATGCTTACATGCAAGATTAATCAACAATTTCTTTCGAAAATCGCACATTTTGTCAAAGCATTTCTGCCCGTTGGAAAACTATTTGTAATAATTGTAGCGTGTAGCTATGGCAACGTAAGGGAGTATTACGCAGGTGTCATGTTGTAATTTTTGAAATCCACGATGGGCAGGGGCTTTGGGTTCTGTTGGTGTTGTTATAAACCGAAAGTTAAAGATCGATTCGATTTGCAACCGTTCTTGATGAGGCGTTTGCCAATTTTCTGGATTATGGGCCCTCCTGGCTGCGGTAAATCCACTTTAGCTTGTATGCTGGAAAAGAGCAGCAAATACAATTTGGTGAAAATCTCGGATTTGATAAACGAGGAAATCACCAAGGGAAAATTCAGGGCAAAGATTATCGAAGATTGCCTAAAAAAAGGGAAATTCGTGCCGGACGAGATCATCGTAACCTTGATTAAAGAGTACATATTTTTGAACTACGCAAATGCGAAGGGATTCATATTTTCCGGTTTTCCAATCCACTTGCGACAGGCAAAACTTTTCGAACTTGAGATCTGCAAAGTCAACATCATAATTTACTGCACCCTCGTTCTGGACTCGCTTCTAGGAAGGATGATCACTAAATATGGAGAAATCAATACGGAGCAAGTGCGCTTACAATTTGTAGAGAAACATAAAAGTTCGCAATCAATTTACAAATATTATGAGCACAAAACTTTGAAAGTTATGACAAATTACCCACCCGAAGAGACAGTAACAAAGTTAATATCGGATCTGGAGGACTACTGGGGATACAAATTCGAGAGATTGTACAATAAAAATTAACGTCAATAACTTGTCAAAGAAGATGGATAATATAATTAGATTATCGAGGGCTCTAGGATTCTGTTGGTGTTGGCCTAAGCCGAAAATCAAAATTGGAGTCGATATAGAAGGTTTTCAGGAAAAGCGGTTACCGGTATTTTGGGTATGTGGACCACCTTGCAGCAACAGAACAAAAATCGCCGAAATGTTAGAAACTGCCAGTGGTTATATCCTCGTTAAAGTATCAAAACTAATTGAAACGGAAGTCGCTAAAATGAATTTCAGAGCAAAAATAATATTGGATTATACCAAGCAAAGAGAACCGGTGCCCGACGATTTTGTCATAGATTTGATAAAAGAACATTTGTATCTCAATCACGAAAATGCAAAAGGATTTATTTACAGTGGTTTTCCTCTCCATGTGCAACAAGCGAAATTATTTGAATTGCAAGTGTCGAAAGTGTCAATAATTATTTATTGCACTGCAGATCGAGATACTCTCGTAAAGAGAATGAGAAAGAAATATGAAGGAATGGAGGAATCTAGGATTAAAGCATTTTTAGATAACACTTGTGCAGATTCACAAAGGCTCTATCGCGCGTATGAAAATAAAACACTGAAAACGCGGACGGATAGCGACAATCTCGTAAATGTGGCGCGTAAAATTATTGCGGATTTGTATCAATTTTGGGGTTACGAATTGGAAAATAAGCCAATAAGTTGAAAGGATTTGTAAAAAAAAACAAGCTTTAATAAACATAAGACCATGATTATATCTACAATGGAATTATACAAGTACTTATGTTATAGGTTTACATATGATTAAATTACAAGTGAGATAAATTTATAATGAACTGTATCACTAATAACCAAGTATAATTAATACCTAATAAAGTTTTCAAATATCAAAGATAATAGTCGTTTTTGTACAAAAGTTTTTTTTCTTCTTTCTTTTATATAGGATAGTTTTAAATAATAAAAAAATAATAATAAACAAATCACTTAGCATTTATCAATTTGTAGTACAAAGTCAAATCTGCAGACGACTTCCAAATAAAATGCTTAACGGTCCTCAAATCCATAGCAGGATCCAAAACCTGAACATAAATTAAACATTAAAAAATATTATAAATATAAATGAGACGAACGGTAGACGAACTCACTTGATCATTGCAAGTCAATTCAATTTGGTCAACTGTTGTGCCATTATTACTTGTGGCATTTGGGGTCGGTTCGGCGTCACCTCCTGGTGAACCTGATCCTCCTTCACCTAGGAATTTATCTAGGATATGTTCGGCAACTTTGCGACATTGGATAAAATCATTTGCAACTAGTCTATCAGGCTAAAATAAAATCGAAACAAAAACTAAAAACCAAAATATAGCGCTAACCAAGCTCTACCTTTTTATGTCGATCCTGCTTCAACAAATTAGAAGGAACACTGGAATGTGGTTGAAGGTAGAATTGGACTTTAATAAATTTACTTGTACAATTATCTTCTAAACTGGATGTCACCCAACTGGGCACCGTTTCGTTCAGTAAAGCAGTTTCTGTTTCGCCCTTTGTATCGCCTACCAAAACACGATACAAAGTTCTTCCACCTACTTCACTACAAATGTAGAACAAATCCCATTGAAAATAATTACTATTAACATTTCATTCAATAAAAAGCTTTACCTAAAAATTAACGGAGTATGAACTGGAACACTGAAATAACTTTTTGGCTCAATATTAGGATCTACGCCCCTCCAATGTTCAAGCAAAGCTTGTAACAATAGTTTTCCGTAATTGACTTTTTGATCGGGTTCATCTTTTACGCCTGCATCCCTTGCGGAAACCCATGCTGAAAAACAATCGACCTCATCTTGACCTAAATGGATGGTTAACATCTGTAATACAAAAAAATACACATCTTGAAGCTATTCTCTTTCATTTGCATGCAGATATTACCCCAGTTTTAAGATCAAAATTAAACCAATTGGGAACATAAACCATTTTAAATCTATTTTTCAATTCTTCTTGGAAATTGATGGGACCTAGATCTTCCATTTTCCTTGCCCTCAATACATCGTATACAGCAACGTTATTATCAGTATCTTTTGTTAAGATGTGCCTCTTGTCATTTAAAACGACAGCCAGCTTTATAGCTGCACCACCCTGTATTAAGGATATTGGATTTGTTGGCATACTGGCTTCTCCCTTGAAATGTTTTTCTGTCGGCAATTTCCAGCAACGAATATTCGATTCAGATGTTGACACCTTTTAAATCAACCAATTAGATAAGTTCTTGTTCTATTGAATTATTTTATATAATCATATTACCCAAATGGCCGAGTGATCCGCGGTGAAGCACATTTTCAAAATTGGCGCTTCCTCGACGCAAACGGTTATACTGTTTTCAGGATTTTTAAGTTCAGTCATGATAACTTTTTTGTCTCGCCCGCCGGAGATCACGTAAGCAAAATTATCAGTCGCCAATAAAGCCCAAACAGAATCGGTGTGCACATTGATGGTTTGTATACATCTTTGAGCACCTAAATTCCAAACTTTAATACTGCAATCACTGCTGCCAGAAATGCAATGGCATCCATCACGTGACACAACTAGCGCTTTAACATTATCCGTGTGTCCTTTAAGTTTGAACAACTTTGCACAACTTCTAGGATCCCACAATCTTAAAGCTTTCTCAGTTGAACCACTGACGATTACGCTTCCTGGTGGATTCATTGCAAGACTATAAATGGATTCTTTGTTTCCTCCAAGACTAGAAGCTATTCACTTTCATTAATGATGGTTCTTGAATATTTTAGTAAAAACAATAATTAACTTACTAGTTACTGTATTATTGCTTGCTGTTAGCGCAGTCAAAGTATTGACATCCCACAAATATATGGACTTGTCCAAACCAGCAGAAGCAACCTGTTCTCTATCCTTAGCATATGCCAATGCCTTCACATAATCTTTATGGGTTCTTAATGTTGACATGCAGAACCCTTTATGAGCATTCCACACTTTCACAGTTGTGTCTGAACTAGCTGAAATTACTAAATACCAAAATATGAAATAGAATTGCAGTACTTCTAATAAGATTCAGTACTTACAGTTCCTCCCACCACAGCAAAGGACAATATCATTGACCCAATCTGTGTGGTGTTCCATACTTTGGTGATACCTCTCATGCTCATACACCCTGACAATTGAATCCCTACCAGCTGAATACAGCCGATCCAGCATTGGATCCACTTGCAATGCATTGACACCAGACCTGTGTCTTTTTTCCTCAGCTTCACAAATCACCATGGAAACCTGATGATGAATTAAATTAGTAAAGTCATTTGTTTTACAGAGCCCCATGAGCCTTAATTACCTGTACTTTTTTACGGCCTCCTTGACCGCCTGGTTTCAACGTGGACATCGCGCTCCAAATATTGCTCACATGGAATTTGCTAAATCACGAGCAATTTTTGAAGGCCCCAGAAAGTAAACAAGTCTTTTAATTAAATGTCATTATTATAGGTTATACACTAACATAAGATACGGGCTTTTACTACCTTTTCTAAAACGTCAATGAAATCTTAAAAAAAAATATATTCCACTCTTAGGCAACACACTCTACAGATTTAACAGTAGAATATAGATAGACTACATATCGCAAGGTATACTGAATATAAAACGTTATTATCATTACATAATTAATATGCAGACATTAATATGAAAAAAAAACTCTTTATACTTACCTTTTGTTACATCACACCTAGATAATTCAATTTATTGTATACTATTAATAATTGAATTGACCATTGATATATTATTTTCATTAATTATATAACGTGTTATTATAGCGAAGTCACGTTAATCTTACATAATCACAATAAAAGAGAAATAAAAAGTTTTTGATATTTCAAGCAACAAACACAATTGTGGAACAACTACAAATAGAACGTCTAAAAGGATGTCTTGTCACTATGTCTATCTATATATTTCAAACCCCTTTATAATGATAGATGACTAAGGGCTGACATTATTTTTATGAAAAAGAACTATTGCAATCTTTTATAAACTTGTAGGGCGATGTTTTTTATAATTAAATTTTCTTATTATTTTAATGAAAATTTAATTATATAAAATGAAAAAAAAACAGTAATAAATAATTTGATTGGAAAATTTTAAGTAATTTCCATTACTTTTCTTATATAAGGTTTCTCTTAAGTTATTAGTTTTATCTTGAATATACATATTCAAGTTTCAAAATTAAACGAGAAAACAATATTAACCAAAGTTAAAAGATTTTGATATTGAATTGTGAACAGAATGGGTTATTGATTTTATAATTAAATAATTTTACGACGATGGGAAATTACAATAAATTTGTATATATTCTGTCTTTACATTTTTGTGCCATTTCCATTTTATACTTAATTACATAAATTAGAGATCGGTCCTAACGATTATGTTCATATAAGTTGCATAGGTATTTTTCAACGTAATGTTTGGTCATCATGTGATCGATAATGTAAATAGGCGAAGTTTTATTTTTTTTACTTGGAGGCAATTTTGTATTTGTCATTTCGTTTTTTATTTGTCAATTGGATCATGACCCCAAAGGATTTACAAACTCTGGTTTATTCTATTCTAGATTGATCTATGTTACAAATATATTTCATCGACCTTTTCGTGATATGCGCACAGTGATCATTCCTCGTCCGATCATTAAGAGTCTCTAATTAAAATCCTTAATAAATATTATAGTAGACTGAATTTAAAAATGTTGGCATTTAATAAAATCAAATAAAATTATTCTAATAATAATATTAGTATTTTTATTTCAAGTTTTTTGTTATTTAATTGTGGTATACTTTATATTAAGAAGATACAAATTAGAAGTATAATTTTCAATTAACTAAATGATTTTAATTGGTTCAAAGACAAGAAATATTTCTATATTGAGCAACGTTTAAAAGTACTGCGAAGAACTGATATATTTAATAATGGATTCTCATTATTTGTACATGCAATTTTTTGCGGCACACTAATTTATAATGCTAACACATATAAAGAGTGGTGTGATTTTGTGTCATACGACACAGCAAATCGCTTTTACGGCAAAATTTAAAACGCATTACTTGTATGTATGTGGTGCATTAGACCTGCAGTTGAGATGATCGTGAATTATAAGAATCGATGACACAAAATAATCGAATGAATTTTGAAATGCAATATTAGTTATAGTTGGCCCGAAGCACCGACGTCTGCGTCTGGCAGAATGGTCGTGCCCGTTTGTGATTTATGTTTGTATGTCAGAACTGAAACTGGAATTCTGCCATGTTCACACAATATCATATACACTCGAATTAATTCGGATGGAAGCGACATACAGGATAATAGGCTATTATCGGTGAATTATACAATGTAATCCTATATTCGGCAACCACCACCCCCAAAGCAGTCCTCACTAAATCATAATTTAATTGCGGAGAAAACGCTTTCTTCCTTACATCTCTCCTCCACGCTCCTTCAATGTTATTCCCCACGCAACGAACCCTAGGCAATCAATTCCAATTTCACGTTTAATACGATTGCCTTCCTCTGGCATTACCTTCGAGCGCACATCAATTGTTGCCAAGGGAATTCAACGCTTACAAACAAAATGTGTATTGATAACGTTCACCTATATTCAAAAAAATAAAATAAAAATAAATACAATTTCGTGGAAATGCTTTTAAAGCCATTTTTGGAACCGAAACTTTATTCTGCTTAGATAAGTGGAGAATGTGCGAGAGCCCTTCGACAGGTGTTCAGCCCCATCCGACCATCCGTCAGATGGGCAAGAAGTGTGCGCATCCTACCATGAAGACCATATTGTACGGGGTGTAAGTTACATCATGAGGCCTTCCTTACGTTTACTTCCTCTGTTCGCCCTCGGCGTACCGGTCTTTCTTCCACGATATTCTCCTAATTAAGGATACACATGGCACGTGCGTCTTTACAAACGACCCTTTTTATACTCTTTGTGCGCTCCCAACGACACGCTCCTCCTAACTACAATTTTCACATTGACCCCGAAACATCATTCCTTTTCATAAAAAAATATATTCCGACGATCTTCAAACGCATAATGCATCAACTGTTCACAATAGATTTTATACCGATCAGCGATTCTAGAAACTTCGCAAATAAAAAATAATTACCGATGACGACCAACAACTCACTTATTGTTCAAAATCACAAAATGCATTATACAGATAAAAATAAGTAAAATGTATTACCATAAAAGATTATTGCTTATTTATAAATCACTAAAATTGATATAATTTATAAATATTAATTTGATATCGATTCTGAGAATAATTCCTAATTACTTTATTATTTGTGAAACCTTTTCCTGATATGTTTTTTCTAAAAAGAAAGCAATCAATTTCAATGACGCATAATCGGAACCACCTCAATTATTTAATGTGTTATTTTCATGTAATTACTGTGTGTTTTGCATTAATATTGTATAGAAGGACTAATATAATTTTGACACAATTTACATTCGTTCCAAACATTTATTCACGTATTATTTTTTGTAAACTTTATTTATATAGGCATAATTATTCTATATAAATTATTGCATATGCTTAAATAAAGTGTGTTAAAACTAACAGTTTAATAAATATTATTAACCTTTGAACTTAATATTTTGGAGATAAAAATTAACAGTTGTTGATGAATTAACTTATTACGTTTTGTAACATAATATACGGTAATGACTAATGTTTGAGTATTTCCATGTTAATTGTGATCTTTATATGAATATTAAGTTGATTCAATTGTGTGTAATTGGAAAATGTAGTATTTAGATGTGACTTTAGGAAAATAATTATTTGTATGGCCTATGAAAATATTTATGTTGCATTTGAAAAGGTCTGGCAGTTGCGTGTCGGGTGGGAATAAGAGTTTTATTTGAGTATGATTTCGAATAATATTTGGGGTTGCTACCGACTACCGGCAAGTGCAGTATATCAACCCCCTAACAATAATAATAGCATGCATCGCTAATAAAAAACATCGTGTAGCTGTGAGTTCATTGGTTCACAGGTAGTGCAGGTGTGTGTGAGTGTGTGTATGAGTGGTCAGTCAACCATATCGCGATATCATCGTATTTCATGAGTCAAAAGTGTTTGAGCGACGATAGCGAGCGGGTGGGTGTGTGTAAGAGTGTAAAAAATTTCAGAATTTCTTTGAATAATCTCGAAGTCAGAAAAGTGCGTTCCTTCGATTTGTCGTCTCCTTGAGTCGTTCGCGTTGTTCATCTGAGATAATATAATTAAAGGTGTTGTGTGTAAGAAGGTTAGTGGTAGAGTGGTTTTTAAAGAGATTTGCGAGCGTCGCGGCGCCGGCGCGCGTCCTCTTTGCCCCCTCGCCGCGGCGCAGGCGGTGGCGGTACGAATTAGTCTGACACGGGCTACGGATCAGAGCGCATCTTCAAATCTACCCGAAGACATATATACCTTTGGTATATATACAAAATCAAATCAGATCTTGTAGGTCCTGGGAAGTGTGTAAAGCATGTGTGTGGCTGGAACAACTCCCCCACTGACGTGATCCCGCAGTGCGACAACATCGATCATCATCTCTTCAGTGACCTCTTCTACCTATCAACTCCAACTGATACCTAGAATTGAAGAGAGAAAGAGATATACTTAAATATATACATCTATCTCTCTATTACTTGCATACATACTTATAGTAGTAGAAGTAGTAGTAGTGGTGCAGTGTGCGCTCAAGTTCACCGCTCGCATTCATTCCACTTTGGCCTCGCTCCTCTCACTTAGACTTCGCTAAGCTATGGGGAGGTTTTGGTTGTCCAGAGCTTACCATTCGGGCTGACGGTTATCAAAGTGGGGCCGCGGCCATGGACTGGCTACTCGCGGCTTGGATCATAGTAATCTGGTTTGCCTCAGGTTAGTACTCTTAAGATCTACTCACACTCAACACCGCAACTTACACCCCTATTACATAAACTTCATCCATACACATACTACACTATCGATTTTGACCGTAATTTAATTGTATCCATTTGTATATACCCTGGCCAGCATTTAATTTTTCCTTTTCAAATCGCACGTGACACCAATATGAAACAAAAAAAAATGTAATATCCAATTCAACATCAGCACATTATCAAATTACCAATGACAACTAGATACCGAATTTCGCCGAATCAACACATACTTCCTATTTTTTTTTTCCATTGTACCAGAACAATCTGAACGGGAACAACCACCCCCAATAAAAGATCACGTGGTTGATAACTCCAATTTTCGAGAGGGTGGCGTAAATGCAATCGATATTTATTTCCACCAAGATTTTCCCCTTTTCCATCCGAAGTTCCAAAAAGCACACAAAAAAAAATAGAAGAACACAAAAATCCAGATGAAAAGCAGCCTCATTTTTTTTATATCTGCTAATCCTAGTCACATAAATATTTAGATATTGGTTTAATTCAAGCATCGCACGATTCTCGCATTATTTATACAATAACGGTGGTCCGGCTAGAAAAGCTGAGCGAAAAAAAAAATAACGAAGATTGATCAAGGAAGATTTTCACTTTATTACTGACGCGCTAATTAATATTGCAAATATATCACTTCTCCTTGAACTTAATTTATTGTAATATAAATATTTACTCGTATCAATGCCAATGTACAATGTAAATGTAAATTCTTTATAATCGTATAAAACTTCAAGCGATCATTAACCCTTAATTTGTGAGTATAGGAGACCTCTTCCACATCCACCCATTATTTGTTTTTTGAAATACCGTATTTGCAATTAGGTATTTAGTAATAATGATGATAACTTGAAATGAGCTCATCAGGGTGTGTAGTTCGTAATCGTTCGAAATGAGTCCCACAATCAGGCAACGATTGTACGGATCTGTATGTCAAGAGAGTAATGAAAAAATCACGTTGCATTATTTACTTGCATATATGCTTGGTCTAGGTCGGGGAAAACAACTCGATTTTCCACATAATTTCTCTCGCATTACAATTTGATCCATTTGTTTGCGAAGAGATGCCACTGATTTGACTGAAATGAGAATAATTTTCGGATCGGATTATTGCTGTGACCTAAAACGATGCGATCCGACCTCTTTCGAGTAAACATGATTTATGGGAGGAGGCATCGGTTACTATGACCATCCAATTTCCGTTCGAATGCGATAATATACACACCTTGTTGTTTATTCTGTTGTTTTCTACATCAAACGTGGAGCTATCGTTAAAAATAGATTCTGGCGACGGTAAGAACAAGTGGCACAAAATCGGTGCCGCTGAGTCTGTTTCTTCACTAAACCAAAAACTTTTCATTTGGTTTACTCCATTTGAAAAACTTCAATGTCCGAAAGAAGTTTTCACGAACTTTACGTTTAAACCGAAGTCTTGTACGAATGTACGAAACGTTTAACAGTTTTATAAATGTAAATAATTTATTTACAGAATACATGTTTTTTCAAAACTATTTCAAAAGCCGTATAGATTTACAATTCCATAAACTTTTTCAACATGAATAATAATGAATAATTACTTTCGAATTACAATATTCCCAAAATTATACGGGTTTTTCTAACTGTAACTACAATGTGAAATTAAAATATTTAATATTTTGAAATATGCTGAATTATTAACAGATTACAATTATTCATGAAATTTTAGAAATCAGTAGTTGAATTTTTAATATAAAATGCATAGATATTTGATAATTATACTTACATCAAAACCTTACTTAATTAGTAATTTGGACGGAAAGACTGCGGTCAATAGATATTTGTATTTTATTGTATAATAAATTTTGTTTAATATTAGTAATTTTTTGGGATGGAAATATAATGTTCTGTATTTTTTTTAAATTTATTTTAATGTATTATATTTTCTGTACATTTTCAGTAAAACAATGTTACAATTTGTAATAATTTATAATGTTGAAAAAATTATTATTTCATAAAATTTACTTTCAAGATTCATACATTTAATATAAACTTTTTTAATATGTGAATGAACCGTAAACATAAAATATTTAATTGTCAATTCGCATTGTACAATAAACTTTGTATATGAGATTCTGTATATTACAATACATTTAACGATTTAATGAGATACATAAAGTGCGAAATTTCATTTCTTAATAAAAGCTGTATTTTGGCACAGGTTTGTGGCCTCATTTAATAGTTTCTAAGATTCGTAACAATATATTTATCAATTGCGGACTTCCTTTTAGTGAATTGTAGACATCTCGATTTACGATCATTGCTTAATTAAGTTAAGATACCAGACTTTCAAAGAAACCAATCAGCAATTGGACATGTCCATTTGCACGCAACCGTCTGGGGGCACTTCGAAATCGCTTATTGAAATTAACAAAACAGGATCACAATGTATAGAATGTTTTCTCGATGTATTTGTCCGCAAGGTTAAATTAATAATGAAATACATCAATTTATTAGACAATATTGTATTTAAAATTATTGACATACATTGAATGTTTTAATTAGATAATATTAAAATACTAAAAGCTTTATAATAGTATGAAAAATATGAATAAAAACTAAATAGAATTTGATACCAAATGTTAAACAAATTCTGATTATGTTAACAAACTATTAAATGTTGTTCAAAATATTATTTACAGGTCTCGAAGTTAGATAATTGAGTTTGTTTTAGTAGTTTATAACTTAATTAAAACTACATTATAACTCTGTATACTGTTTATAACGAGAATTTAAATTAGTGATATATGGTTCGAGCAATTAAAATACGAAATGGGATATTTCATATTTGGAAACTTTCAAATTATTACATTCTAGGTACAAAGATACACTTCAACTATAAAATAATTTATATTTCTTAGGAAGTTTCTCTTAATACTCTTTTGCATTCTCAAAATGACATCATAAAGTCACCCATCCAATTATAATAAACGTTACTTAACTCATGCAACTAATGAATAATTTAATTGTTATTCTTACAACTCTAAATATATCAAACAAACAAATAACAAAAACTTTATTAATTTAATGAAGATAACTTTCTTTGATATAATTTTAACTTTAATGTTTTAACAAAATATAAAAAAAAATGTTTAAAAAATCAACAGATTTATTGAAATTAATAGCCATTATTTAACATTAAGGTGAAAAAATCAGTATTATCATATTAACAGTAATTAATTTAGGATATGTATACGTTGAATACAAATTTTGGATAATTTTACATAATGAAATTGTTCAAAATTTGTTAACATTAATATTATCAGAGAAATTTCTTTTAAGATTTAATTATTTTATTAGGTAGTTTAGTCGCATGATAGTTTCGTTTCCTACTAATCGATAGAACAATGTATATAGTTCGTGTACAGCCCACCCAAATGGTAAAGTTTTGTATGTACATTATTAGATTTTACGAACCAATGGGAATCTATTGGGTGGGTTACATGTAGGTTAGAGGGTGGCTAATATTTTAGTAACCAAGTGCGTGCAACCAGCGGCTGAATAATGCAAGGGGTTGGCTCGAGCCCCGGAGAAAAGAACCACTGAAAATATTCATGGAACTCAGGGTCCTGAACGCTTCGTACCCGTCCAAATTATTGCCGACGTAACGACAATTGTTTCCCCGTTTTTGCGTTGAAATGACGCAAGAATTTTTCTCTCGCATCCAATCAAATTCAATTGGCCGATTGTCTGCGAGGAAACTTACATATGCATTATTGTTTATCATAAACACTTCGCGGAATTCATTTAGTGCCAATAACAAATCGGCGGCACCGCTCATCAAAACCCGGGCCCGACGAATTAAAGATCAATTGAATTCGTTTAGTTTAGTTCGAAACGCATTTATTATACATAAATATTAAACTGAACAATTTGCAAATGTTTATAAATATCTGGTTATAAATTTTAAACATAGTTAATAAAAAAAATATAGTCTGATTAGAATTTTTCAAAGTTTTATATCATAAGAATATATAAGATAATTTCACAAAAAATGGAAATCAAAATAATAGTTAACTTTGTGATTACTTTTAAGTTAAAAAAATTTCTACTCTTCTTGAGAAATTACATTTTTGATAGGAAAAATAATAATTCAAATAATGCATTTAAAGATATTACAAATATAATGATTACAAGACAAGATGGATAATTGAGTTTGTTTTACTAATTTTATTAATATTAAATAATCTTTTATTTAAATAACAAAGATACATTTCTAAGACAAGAAGGATTGAATTTTTATAAAATTGTGTTATAAATCTATGCTTTCACATACGCACCTTTTAATAATGGAATTCTTCTTTGGTCACAACTTATAATCGTTTATATAATAGTTTCATTTTTACAAAACTTACAAATATGTAATTTTATAATTTATTTCTTATAAATTTGGGTAGTTTTATATATTTTGAAAAAATGCGAAAAACAAAATAGGTTTATAAGTGGTATTCTCAATTCAGTAATATTACAATTTCAGTGAGGTTCAATAGCAGATTTATAAATATGTATTCGTTTTTTATTTATTTATGTATAAATATTATTACAATTGTGTATTATAATATCACATTTTATAAGAGAAACTCGAAATTTCTTCATATACGATTACAGAATAATTATTTTGCAATTAATGTTTGACTTAAATGAGCGTCTATATTTAGCGAGAGTGTAAACGATTAATTGAATCGTAAATCACGTTTAGACGGCAATTAAACGGAGGTATTCCATAAATTTTGGATTTTATTAAGGTCCGGGTACGGTGTGTGTAAATCACCTCGTCAATTTTTTTTGTGAGGAAAACTATAAAACTTGATGGATTGTTCTTCGGGGTGTGTCTCGAAGCGTGGTGAAAGCCCACCTATTGATATTAAATCGATTGGAAGCACTTCTTTCGCCATCGGAACGAGCATAAAATCA